AATATGTCAAAAAAGACTTATTTTCTCAAAATATTGATTTTACATCTTAAAGATAATTGGGATTTTGGGATACTGTGTTGAAATAATGAGTAATTTCAACAGAGTAAGTAAATATTTTTAGAAATGGGCTTCTCTTATGATTGGGTTAATTTTTATGTTTTTCAAATATTGCAATATTTATCACAAAAACATAAAATCTCTATGTAACCTTTCTACAGCATCATTCAGCCGTACTGTATACTGGGTTCATCATTATCCACACAGACTGTTTGGCCGATTAAACGCTGGAAAAGACAGCCTAAAATGATTTTGTCCAGCTGCAGAGCAAATATACAGATCATAACTGTAAGGAAATAACCCTGAAATGTGTACGCCTTTAACACTGGTTCACTTACTGTAACCTTATACATGGAGAGAAAGACAAACGCAGAGCCTCAAAAGCTTAGCGGAGACACGATGACCCGCTCGGCCTTCCAGGCTGCTGGTATTTGCGTCAGGCTGTCATGCGTCGGTGTGAAAGCCGTGCCTTTGGAGCCGCATGCTATTCAGGTCAAAGCTATAAACCCGGCGGCGGCTTGCTGGGCCCTGGCCGTGCGTGTGGATTAACTGCTGAGAGGTTCTCACCTGCTAATTGGCCCACGCTCAGGCCTGCGTTTGTGAGGTCAGACCCGGCCTGTCAGCAGCAGGAACCTGCAGAGACACTCTGACGGCAAGCAGGAGGAGCAAGCGGTCCAGTCTGGATTAAACACAGAGACACAGCAGCACACGGCACAGTTATTCCCACATTTCACACTCTCGGTTCAGAGATTACAGTGCATAGCAGATTAAGAATATTTTTATTTGGCTTTTTTCCAAATATGGTTACAAAGAGGAGATTAAATGTGTCTCTATATACACACATGAATATACCATATATACAGACCATTTTAGTGAATTAGCTCAAACTGCAGTCCCACAGTTATAACATAGTAATAAGCTAAATATTTACAAAATCATCATTTATAGGGTATTTTCTATTGGGAGGAGTCTGTCCAAAACCCTAACCTCTAAATTTACACTTTTATTTTTTCAAATGTATTTTTTAAAGATCTTTTTTATTTCTTTTAAAGTGAAGTTGAAAGATTTACATTTATCAATTGTTTTTTTTTTCATTAAAAAATGCTGTCCCATGTTTTCATGTCACTATTGAAACACAGAGTTTTGGTCTGTGGGTGGAGCCTTATTTTAGCCACACCCCTGCATTTTAGAGCAGGAAGTGAGGCTGCATCCCTGTCCCTCATGGCCACATGGTGAGCAGTTAGATCCCATTGTTTTGAAGTAAATGTGTCCCAAAGTCTGAAAATCAGTGTGGAACATTAAGAATCGTCATATTTTCTGCAGTTCAGCACTTTTTAGTGTTTTAATGTAAAATATGATGATTTTCTGTGTGAACAGCTGTTCAAAGCTGTGTTTGCTGGTCTGTACTGGCTGAGTTTCAGAGCTCAAAATGAGCTAAAGTTGGCATCACTGAAACAGTCACTACTGAAACATTTGGTAAAGTTTGGGTAGAGTTATGATTGTTTGGGTAGTGACAAAAAGAAACGTTCAATCATTTGTTTTAATAAACATAATTAAGGTATAGAGTCACTCAAAGCAAAAGGATTTTAGTCCCAGATTAGTTAAAAGTAACAAATGTTTTTTCAGCTCTGACAGAATGACCTACATATATGGTTATGAATAGCCCAACATATATAAAATACTTTAATCATACTTTTTTAAATAAAAATGTTTAGATATCTATCTAAATTGTCAATTCAGTAAAGTGTCTTATGTATGTACATATATACACACACACATATATATATGTATACATACATATATATATATATATATATATATATATATATATATATATATATATGTGTGTGTGTATGTACGTATATATGTGTGTGTATATATATATATATATATATATATATGTGTGTGTGTGTGTATATATATATATATATATATATATATATATATATATATATATATATATATATATACACACACACACACACACACACCACACACATATAAACCTCATATCTCCAAAATGGTAACTTTACAGGAGAAGGAAAAAACATACTTTACTTTTAATGTAAGTCAATGGAACCGGAACTATTTCCAAGTAATTTTGGGCCATTCATCATGAAATTTACACACAATGTAAAGGGAAACATGCATTTTCAAACACTGTCAAAAACTGAATAATGACAAAAATGGAGGCAAGGACAAGGTTTTGTTCCAACAGCAGCAATATATATATATATATATATATATATATATATATATATATATATGTATATATGTATATATATATATATATATATATATATATATGCAGACACTATATTTTTACATATGTTTTATATTTATTCCAATAGGCATCATCAAGATTACTTTAGCTAACTTTAATCAAAATCGGCAAATTTAACCTTCTTAGCAAATGACGCCGATTTGATTTAAGCATTTATAAGCATTTATGTAGGGTCATCATAACAAGCTTATGTAGGTGTCATGTAGCCTTATGAACAACAGCCTGCAGTAAAGTGTTACCAAATACAGTATATTTTAATCTGAACCATCTGTAGACGACAGAGAAAACTCAGGAACTTTAAGTAGGCCTGAGCAGTCGTCTAAGTTAAAGGGCCCATATCCAGCACTGTTCTTTTCCCTATAGTGATTATAAGGTGGATTTGCGTATGAAAACCAGTCATAATTCATTTTCTACATGACCATTTTCCACCCTCTCATTATTCTTTAGAGATACACAGGCTGGTTTTGTTACTGTGCCTTTAAGACTGATATATGTAAATTAGCTCTGTTCTGATTTGCTGTGCCTCATTCATCAAGCAGTCCAGGCTGAAACACTTCTTATAACTTCAGTGTAAGTGGGCGGGGGTAAACTGCTGTAGGCTGAATAGGCAGATGTATGTGAGTGTGTTGGTTTTTATGACATCACAAAAACGACAAATTTCAAACAGCCCACTTTTGCAGGTTAGTTTCCATACATGGACTGTTTACACTGGGGAGTGAACAATATGTTTTGAAATTTCAACCATGTTTACATGCTACATCAAACTATTTTATTAAAAAAATATTTTTTCATGATATGGGCCCTTTAAAGGCGTTCATATCTGAGAATATCATAAATTCTTTCTATGTATTTAAAGCACTACATTTGCTCCACTGATGACAAATGAGCTGCTCTGAGCTCTTTTGAGCACAACCGTGATGTGAGTTAAATTCTGTCCTCATTAATATTCCAAACTGTGTGACTGCACTGATGACATCACGTTTTATGTAACGCTGAATGTGGTTTTATCTACAAGGATAAAAACAACTGTGATCTAAATCAAAAGTACGGCACTGGAGGGCTGTTAAAGGGCAATTCAACCTTTTTTTCCTGCCTAATTAAACAGTTAAGATGTAAACAGAGTCATTCAGAGTGGTTTGGTGTGAAACGCTCCGTTCTAGAGAGTCAGAAATGTTCACAGTGGTGGTGATAGGAACCAGACGTCCACCTCTAAAACTTCCCTCACAGAAAGTTACTACATGAAATGGTTATGAATTCACTGCCAGATGATTGACACTCAATAGTTTTGGGATGATTTGGGCCTTTAAATCTATTTTTTTCATGGTGGAGGGATACATGCAGGGTGCTCTGAGGCAAAATAGTCCCCAAAGAAAATATTATATATAATACCACTATTTTCCATCATCATCATTCTATATAAACTCAGAAGACTCGTGTAGGTTCACTGGTGGTTCTGGATAGTAAATAAAATGTCTATATTAGTGTTGTAGTCATGGCGACCCCTGGTTCCTATCACCACCACTGTAAAGAAGTCCAGGTCAGTAGGTTCCTCTACAGTGGATACTTTTGGATATATTGCCTAATGTCACTATTAATTCTTAGATTGTGTCTCTGATATAACTGTAAACCAATTTGACCAGAAATAGTCCAAATTTAATACCAAAGTCAAACTCAATTGAGCATTTCTAAGTGCATCATAACAATTACTCTCTACTTCTAACTGTAGGTGGCAGTGTTGTAACAAACATCACAGAACCTCAACAGGCCTCTAGCTCAGATTGAGGACAGTTATGTTGTTAAAGGAGAATTCCACCTGTTTATCAAAAATTCTGCATAATTCAGTGTGTGAGATGTAAACAGTGATTCAGAGTGGTTTGGAGTGAAATGGTTCAGATGTCTTTACAGTGGTGGTGATAGGAACCAGGGGTCGCCATGACTACAACACTAATATAGACATTTTATTTACTATCCAGAACCACCAGTGAACCTACACGAGCCTTCTGAGTTTATATGGAATGTTGATGATGGAAAATAATCATAAGTCTGAAACAGTAAGTTTTCCTTGGGGACTATTTTGTCCCATAGCACCCTGCATGTATCCCTCCACCATGAACGAAATAAATGGATTAATATACATTTTGTAATGAATCTTAATCCATGTAATGTAACCGCAGCACATTTTAAGATGGAAAGGAAAACGAATAAGAAGTTCAGCTTCATCCTCTTTTCCACAACGTGAAAAAAAAAATGTCAGTTTTTGGTTTTCGTGTTTGTTCTTTGTACAGTTGTTATTCATTCTTTATTTCAATCCTAATCGTGAAGGAAATGTAGAGAGGGGCGCAGGACGCACTGAAAACGTTTTTTGTGAGCAGAGCTTGCGTAGTTTAAAGCTCAGTAATTAAACAACCTCAGACTCTTTCCTGCTTCAAAACGTCCCTCAAGCGAATTACTATACAAAAACAGAGCCGAAGAGTCGACTCAAGCATTTCGACTCTTTCGAGTCATTCGCCAAGACTCGACCCCGACTCCCAGGCGTGATGGAGCAGAAGAATCGATTCTTTCGGAATCGACTCTGCATCACTACCCCACGCGCCTAACGGTCGGAGCACTGATAACAACGCAGCGAGCAGGCAGGCCGCTGATTTAGTGGCTGGCTAACGTTAGATTTACCTTAAGTTACGCTTGTTTCGGATAACATTAGGTTAAAATAACAGGGGAAATGTTAATTTGTCCTCAAAGGCTGGGAAAACACGAAAGTAAGAGCTTTTAGAAGGACATTAACGTTAAAAACTGGGCAGTTGGGAACGGGCCAGGCTGATGTTTGCTAACTAATGTTGGCTAATTTACTGACCAACTTAATTAGCTACTAAACTTTTCCAAAAATGAGGTGGCCCAGAACTTCGTTAGCGGCTAAATTTGTGAAATTTGTTTCTAACCATTACTTTTTTTGCCTGTAGGACGCAGAAAATGCGGAACACAGCTTAGCTAAGCTATTTAAAGGCAGAAGAATGAAGAAGAGCCCTCCAGGTGGTGACAGGTGGGTTGGTTGGGTTCAGGTGGGATGATTAGATTTTGGGTTACCTCATTTTGTAAAATGACTGTGTAAAATGATATTACTTCTTTATTCAGCATGAGGATCTACACATCAACAATAAGTTGAATCAGTTCAGCGTTGCTGGCTGGTGTATCTTGTAAACGCAGTCAGAAACAAACAAAAGAAGTAGGGCTTTATGTCAATATCATGATCAGCTATGTCACAATACAGTGCAGTATGCTTTGCAAACATATTGTGGATCAGTACTTGTCAAAATAAGCCCCATTTAATTAGATTTGGTGTCAGATGTTGATTCAAAATCACTGCATTTACAGTTTTGTAGTTTTTTTTTTAATGGGGCATTACTGGCTCTTTTTTATCTGTTTCAACTGATTAGATGTCTGAAAAAATACATTTTGTGACATATCGTGTTTCATGAAAATTATCGCAATATTGTGCTTTTGCCATATCACCCAGCTCTAAAAAGAAAAGTGGAAACTTTTGCTTGTAACAGAAAAAAATGTGTGTTGTTTCCCCCAGGAATGCCATAATTAGAGTTCTCTGCACATTTCTTCTCTTTCTCCACATCAACCAGCTCTTCTACACGTCTCCTCTCTAATGTCCTGCTAACACGAACATTTTCTCTAGAGTTATTCATATATTCAGTAGTCATTCAGTAAAGCTGTTCCTGCTTAAAACCAAACTACACTTACAAAAAGATGGTTCTTAAGGGTTCTTTAGTAAAGGGAGGACAAAGCAGGATGAAGCACACATTAAGAGAAATCGCGCAAATTGATGAACAGCAAACTAATTAATGAGCTACATTGTATATATATATATGTACACACACTACACACACACACATGTATGTATATATATATATATATATATATATATATATATATATATATATATATATATATGTACAATATGAAAGGATAACAGTAAAACTGTTCAAATGAATGAAGTCATTCTAAAGAGATTCTGATCACATAAACAACAGATTCTCGTAGCTCGCAGTCTGACAGCCACAGCTGCTCAGCAAAATACCAAAAATAACCGCTCTGTGGTTTAATTCCTGCTTTGTTTTTACTGGGAATAAATGGCATTTGGTGAAGTTACTTCACAAAGGGTTCTGATAGAGAATGTGCTCCAGATAGTTCTATATAGAACCTTTTTGAAAAGGATTTTATGTAGCACCAAGAAGCATTTTCTGTTGTTACAAGCTTGACATTGCAACCATAGTAGAATTCTTTTTGGTGCAATATAGAACCTTTTCACCATGCAAAGATCCCTTTAATCATGCAGAGGGTTCCTTGAGTGTCAATGGTTCTATATAGAACCATTCTCATTGCTGATGAACCCTTAAAGACCCATCTTTTTTGAGAGTGTACAAGATTTGGGGCTGGTTTAAAAATATTTGGGGCTGTAGCTCCAGGCCAGGCGAAGCCCCTGGCTGGTTTTATTTACAAAAAACATCAGAAATGTAAAGTTTCTCACATGAAGAGGACGGATCGTGTGGTGGTTTCTTGTTTGCCTGCTCAGAAGAATCATTTTGAAAAACAATCCACAGAAGAAGAAAATGAGTATGAGTGATTATAGCAGATGTTCGGTTCTTCACTAAACCCTTAATTAAAAGGTTTTAGCCGCTCGTTCCACATTGTTTGGTTGAACAAAACACTTTTGTGTGTTTTTCTTCTTTCCCATTCCTCAGAATAATAGCCCCATGCCTCTCTGCTGTAGCTTCAATGCCTCTTCTGTGTATTGAGGATTTTCACAATCTTGCATTATAAATGTGAAATTGGGAGTCTGCATGAGCAGAATAGTAAATCTGTTATTACTTATTATTTGGGGACTGCTTGATTTGATTTCTTGCTCTCTGTCCAGGCATTCTGCTGTCCAAATATGGCAATGTGTCCATGGAGCCATCTCTTGAATTTATTTATAATAAAAGTGTAGTGTTTATTTATTTATGAGTTAATGCAGCGTTTCTCTGTTACAGTTATCTGCATGCACAGATAAAACCTGAAACTGTGACGGTGCTGGACTAGAGGCATGGGAAACACAGGCTGAATGTTATGGCACAATTTTTTTTATATACATGGTACCAGTTTGGAATCACCATTGAGAAGCTTAGAGTCAGTGCTTTAAATAATATGTAAATTATATTGCAGATAAAATAACGTTAGTAATATGCAACTATGCACCTTCATTGCTTTCAGAAAATTGGCAGGAAGCTGTTCAGAAAGATGAACAGAGCTGTAGTTGATTCTGTGTTGACTGAGAAAGCTGCAGAACAAAGTTAGAATAAAAATAATATCTAAAATGCCTTGTGTGTGAAAAGTCACAGAACAAATCTGACAATCTTAATAGAAAATTACAGTACACGGAAAAAAAAAGTATTTTTTCAAGTAAAAAATCTTAAATCTAGTCATTAAATCTAATATTTTTGCATTTTGAGATTGTTGTAAGCTTAGTTTAAGATTATTTTAACTTATTCCAAGCATTTTTTACTTGTTTTCACTAATTTTATTAAGTAAAATTATCTTACTATACTGGCAGATAATTTTGCATGTTGTAAGAAATGAGCTTGCAACCAGCAAAATTATCTGCCAATATAATGAGATCATTTTACTTGATAAAATTACTTAAAACAGGTAAAAAATCAAAAAAGATCAACTAGAATTAGAATAATTTCCCTTGACAAGATACTATTTTTTGCAGTGTAAACTCTTTTCTCTTTTTATACCTGCTTATTCCCAGAAAACAGTGCATCTAAATGCCTTTTTTTGTCTTGTGTAATATTTACATCTACAGTGTATAAGTTATTATTGTGCATTAAATCACAAAATGTATTAAAATGACTGGTGTTTTAAAACAGTAATATAAAACCACATTTTTTGTGATCTTTTTGTCAGAGGGATGTACAGAAACCCCCCAGATCCAGTCCAGATCTCCAGTCTGGGACAAGACAGAACTAATAAGCAAGTTGTTCCTCTCCCACCGCAGATTGGAACCCCTCAAAGACAACAAAGTAAGAGGGAATGTGTCCAGTGAAAAGACCAATTATTAAGTGGGGATAAATCTGTGATTAACCCGTCCTTAAAACTCTTCTTGATTGTACTAAAGATGTCAAGTCATGGCTAGCTTAAGAACTTCCTCTAGTTAAATGAGGATAAGCCTGATATGATTATGTTTGGTTCCTCTGAGTGAAGCTGGGTGATATGGCAAAATGTAATATCACAATACTTAAGGTAGTTTTTTACGATATGATGTATCACAGTGTTTATTTTTTCTGACATCTAATAAGTTAGAACAGACAAAGTTGTGCCACATTTTAAAATACTTTCACAAACTATGAATCTAACATCAGATCATTAAATGCGAGTGCTCTCAAAAGTCTTTCCAGTACCAAAGTTCAAAGACATCAGTATTTTTCCTGCCCTCCTTTTTATTGTCCAGCTTTTGAGTCCATAAAGAACCACAGAAAGGACAATAACCTGGACGGTTCTGGTCTTTGTTTGTAGAGACACATAATTACATTTGAAGATCTTTTCAAGCTCCTTCATCCTTGTTTTGATGATTGCCGGTCTTGCACCAAATTCATAAAAGCTTTCCTAAGAAAAACTTATAAAGGATCTTAAAGAAGTTTTACACTAAAGAAGTTTGTAAACTGTTCTCAAATGCAATTATTATGAAAAAAAACCTCTATTATTCTCTTAAGAAAGTCTTGAATATTTTCTTAAGAAAATGTTAATTGCTTTTGCATGTAGGCTGTAGGTTATTGTCATGTAGATTATCAATATAAACATTTATACTATATTTTCATTAACCAGTTATTGATCATATCAGCACCTGAGAACAGCAAAATTATAGGTAAAACAAAATCAGACCAAACCAAACATTCAAAAAATGTAGCAAACTTCTTTGCCTGAAAGAGAAGTGAGGGTTAAACTTACCCAATCTAAAAAATTGCTATTGGGCAGCACATCTTAGAGCTATAATTGTGTGGATAACTAGAGACAGATGCAGTGTGGGTAGAAATGGAGCAATGTACAGTTGGAATCGCTCCCATATTTGACAGAGAAGGCACAGAGGAACTAGTGGATCAGGGAAACAATGAAAATTGTGGTCAATGGTATAAAAGAAATTAAAATGGTCAAACTCCATCTGTAGAGCCACTAAAATAACAACAAATCCAGATTTTTTACCATCCATCATGGACACGGGGTACAATAAAGTTTCAAACAAGGATTTAATATACAACCCCATTTCCAAAAAAGTTGTGACGCTCTGCAAAATGTGCAAATCATTTAAGCCCTGTATTTCATTGAAAATAGTACAAAGACAACATATCAGATGTTGAAACTGAGAACATTTATTGTTTTTTTGAAAAATATAAGCCCATTTTGAATTTGATGGCAACAACACGTTCCAAAAAAGTTCGGACAGGGAGCAGCAAAAGGCTGGTAAAGTTGTGTAATGCTAAAAAAAATGCCTGGTGGTTAATTGGCAACAGGTCAGTAACATGATTGGGTATAAAAAAGGCATCCCAGAGAGGCTGAGTCTTTCAGAAGTAAAGACTCATAATATTTGGTGCATTATGAAATGATAAATACGACAAAGGAGATCCCCAACTGTTGATCAGCTGAAACCCTGTATCAAGCAAGAATGGGAAAACTGACAAAACTACAGCAGTGTCTCCTCAGTTCACAAACACTTACAGAGTGTTGTTAAAGAGGAGGTGATGAAACACAGCGGTAAACAGGCCCCCGTCCCAACTTTTTTTGGATCGTGTTGTTGGCGTCAAATTCAAAATGGGCATATATTTTTCAAAAATCAATAAAATTTTGATTTGCACATCATTGCATCCTATTTTTATTTACATTCTACACAGCATCCCAGCTTTTTTGGAAATGGGGTTGTACATCGCACAGTTCAATGGACAAACCATGAAGTCATATGAACAACTTACACAGGAGTTTAAACTACCAGCTTATGACTTTTATAAACTCTTACAACATAAGGAATGGGAGAATATTTGCAAAGCACCATTAAAACTAGAGGAACTATTAATGTCATTTACACAAGGAGGGACAAAAAGGGGATTATATCAAAAGTTTAAAAAACATTACAACATGAATCTAAGGATAAAAATATGGAGGTCAAAGAAAAATGGGAGTTGGAAGCAAACATAAAAACAGATGAAAAACAGAGGGAACATTCTAAGCAGGGCATAAACTAACTAATAGCGTGACATGGAGGGAATTTGACTGGAAAATAAAGATGTGGGATTTTAACATCCCTTCTATTACGTCAAAATACAGCAATATATCTGAGCTGTGCTGGAGGGATTTTGGAGTGGGAGGACTTCACACATATATTTTGGGATTGCCCAAAACTTTGAGACTTTTGGAAGAGTGTTCACAATGAGATTAAACAGATTCTAGGGATTAATTTTACTTTAGATCCTGCACTTTTTATAATGTGGTATCCTCCCTGATAATCCAACAGATGGAGATTTGACTTACTTAGTGAGAACTTTGCTCTTAATAGCAAAGAAAATGATAAACATTTCCTGGTTAAAGCCACAGCCCCCCTGTCCAACTCCTGTTATAGCACAGTGGAAAGAGGGTAAAAAAGTTCTTTATTATGGAGAAAATCACAGCAAGATTACAGCTAAGAACAGGTAGGTTTTTTAAAAGATGGTGTCATCATTACCACAGGCAATGCCAGAACTCTCTTATTAGTTTACAATAATGTTTTGAACAGACATGAAAAGAATTTAAGGTAAAATAAGTATAATTGGATAGATATCTTGTCCAAGCTGTATATTCCATGTATTATGTATTATGTGTGTTGAATAAAAAAAAATCAGTTTAAATAAAATCTAACAAACCGAAACCAGACGTGAAAGTGGAGGAAAGAGCCAAAAGGAGGAGAAACCCTTTTTAGCTTATTTTAACAGTTATATTTTACACAACCTATTAGAAGATACAATTAAAGAGGTTTAACATCTCATTTTTTACAGTTTAACGCAAGTATGAGGCTGATGTACAGTTGAGAAAATATTTAAGGACATATGTTTTTCAAGAATATTGCCTTGTTCTTACAATTGTGCTGGACAGTATATGGACATGTATATATTTGTAGTATTTTATTTTCAAATTTTAAATTGCTTAAAACAACAACAAACATACAAAACACGACCCCATAAACCCACCATCTCCCCACCACAGCCCAAATGAATTGTAAAAATAAAAAATAATAAATTCATAAATGAATAAATAAATAAATAAATTGAACTTAAAAAAGGTGGGGGAGAGAGAATAAAGAAGGAAACAAAAAAAAGCCTTCAGAGTCACTTTAGATGGTCCAAGAATGGAACCCAAACAGACCCAAGTCAGAACATCTTGGTGCTCCTGAGTCACAGCTGTGCAACCTGTCCAATGTCATAATATGAAGCATCTCTGATCACCAGTGTTTAAAACATGGTGGACAAGCTGATGTCCAATTCAAAAGAATAGCCTATTTTTAGCCGCAACAATGCCAGCCATTAAGGCTTGTTGACTGCCTCGTATTTCTTGACTGCTGGATTATTTGTTGTTGTTAAGTGACCCAAGTAGGCAGACACTGTCCACCAGTCCTGTGTCCTCACTATCAGTCATACAGTTAACAACTTTTCTCATTATCATATCATCTGTTTTCTTCTTATTGAGCTGAAATGGGATCTTTTCATTCTGTTCTTTAACTGTCCTTATAAAGGCCTTCAGGTCTTACTGACTATGAGTGGCTTAGACACACCTAAGCCTAAAACAAGTGCGCTTAAATAATATAAAATGATTTGATGATGTGCTGCCTCCTCCACAGGCAGAATTAAGACAGCAATGAACACCGCAGAGAGATACAGAACGGCAGTCAGTAACATACGCAGGGGTGAGTTTAGAATGTGTGTATTACTTAATAATCTGAAGGCACCGGTTCATTTCTCAGTTTCGTTATACAGTTTTGTGTAGGTAAGATAATCCTTTATTAGTCCCACAACGGGGAAATTCACAGTGCTACAGCAGCAAAGGGACAGTTTGTTACTTGTTACTGTATAGACAACATATATAATACTGAAAGTAAAAAATTAGCAATATAAAGAATTATAATAAGTCAAAGCACAATATTTATGAGTTTACTGTGTTGTACAGGGGGCATATCGTTGTAAGGTTATGTATCTTCCTTATATAACTGATTTATAGTACTTATAAAAGCTTCCACCGTAACTTTACAATGCAGGCAGTTCATAACTAATTCTGTCTGTCATTTGACACCTGCCCGTAATGTGCCCCCTGCGTGCAACCGGCTATTGACAGTTCGTTGCCTGGACGACAGTATGCAAAGATAAAGAAGAGCTACGCCCCGGTTGTACCTTGTATCCTTCTCAATAATTAAACCACCACTTCCTTGTTCCAGCCACACAATGGAACTGAATGTGGTGACTCCCCCACCAGCACTCAAATGATAAATATATTAGGAGCGGGTTTATCTGTCTTTGTCAGGACGACCTTATAAACAGAAAAAGATGATGCGGAGGATGAGTTTATTCCCGCGCCGGGGCACCTCTCTGGGAAACCTTGGGCTGACAGAAGAGGAGATCAGAGAGGAGGTGGAGAATGGTAAGCAGCATCGGGCTGTAGTTTTTCTGAAATAGATGCTGTTTTGTCTGCGGTGAACCTGCTGAATTTAAACTGACTTTAACAGAATAGTTATTTGGTCTGATGTATTGATTTTGTGAGGATGTTTACAGATACAAAGACTGACTAATATCACCTCCTTGTTTTCCCAGACGCATATGAATTGGTCTCTGAGTTTGTTAAGCTCCCAACCAGAGCTAGAATACAGGCCATACGATCCCTGCCCATGAGTTTCAGCGAGAGAAGAAATATCAGGTTATTTATGGTTATTTTTGTAACACTTATTTTCTGTTCAACGTTTTATGCCAGCAATTTTTTTAGCGCGGCACAGGCTGCCTCTGAAGTGTGGCAGCTTTTGAATAATTTACACATTCTGTTTTGTTTCCAGGAGCAGAGTGATCTCAGTCAAACTCTCCGAAAAGAACATCCTCCCTACATGTTGCACTGACTGCAATCAGCAAGTCTCTCTGGTGAGGACTATATTACACTCACTGGACACTTTATCAGAAACCTCTTTGTTATAGCTGTGCCGTGCTGAGGATTGGGTTGGCTATCCTGTTAGTGGTCAGTTCTTTGGTCTTGAGGTCAGTTTTAGCAGCTCTGTGGTCAGAAACTGACCAGTGATGAATGGGGTATAGGGCAGCTGAAAAACTGTGCAACAACAAGTGGGCTACGATCTATAATTGCTCTCTTAAAGGTAAGTAGAACATGAGTGTATTCCTGTCACTCTGGATTCAAGTACACATGGGATTCACTTAGACAGTGTACCCTGACCTCCATGTATCTATGACCGCGTTTAACCCGGTCACTTCATGTGTCTAGTATCTGGATTGTATCCTGAGGAATTTTTAGCCATGTTCATTTACATTTGGTAGCCAAATGTGTCTCCATTTAGTCAGACTGAAATCTAATTTCTTTGGGATGGAATATGCAAATTCACTCATTACATGGCAACCAGTTAACAATTGTTTACCTGTTCATCCTCATCATCTGCAGTTTGTTTTGGACAGTAGTGTCTGTCCATGTTGCTATTAAGCATTTTGTTTTGTCCCCAACTGTGCTCCACGATTATCTTCCTCACAGACATGGATCACACGCCCAGTGACGCACTGCATGGGGAGGGGTTTTGGTTGAAATGCGAGGAGTTTCTGTTGTGCTGAGAGGGGTTTCTGTTGTAGTGAGAGAAGTTTTGGTTGTACTGGAAGGAGTTTCGGGTGTACTGGGAAGCATGTACAAAGAGAAAAGCAAAGGCCCTAAGACTGAACCTTGAGGGACTCCACAAGAAATGGCAAATCTTTTAGATGAATGATTTCCAAGTGAAACCATGAACTGCCTATTACTTAAATATGATTAAACCATTCTAAAACTGTGCCCGAGAGGCCGACCCAGCATTCAAAACGCTGGATTAAAATCTTGTGGTCAGCAGTATCAAAAGCTGCACTAAGATCTAATAAAACCAGAATAGAATGATTTTGTGCATCAGCGCTGGACCTGAGGTCATTCATAACGTGAACCAGTGCTGTCTCTGTACTGTGGTTAGAACAAAAACCTGGCTGAAATTTCTCATATAAATTGTTTGATATTAGATACACATTTAGTTGTTTGAAAACAACTTTTTCTGGGACTTAACGTAAAAAAGGTAGGTTTATTTAAGTAATTGTTTAATTGTCAAAAGTGACAATTACAAGTTAACTTTATTTTGAAGGCAAGTCTTTTCTCTATTTTAAAAACAAAAATAAGGGACAGAGATCAGCACAGAGCTGTGAGCCCAGTACTGAAGAGAAAATGGCCATTGAAATTAAAATAGGCTTTGTAGTTGTAATGTTGAACATATAGTAATAAAACCAAGAACTCATAAAGAACTAGAATGTGGAAAAAGTGACTACAGCAACTGACAAATGATGTTCAGCATCATTTCCTGATTTGATTTTTGTTGAAAGGACAAAATGGCTCTTAACCTTTGCGTTGCTAACCCCAGGTATAGACTGTGATATATATGTGTATAGACACATATATACCGATACACAAACCGGGCTTGGCATTAAGATTTCTTAAGGATACACATTTTACATGGAAAAAAGCCAATAACTCTGTTTGAAATTAAGATTTTCAAAAGAAAATACACTTTTAACATACCATATGAGCAGGAGTAAATTTCTGTTTCCTGTCAGACTTGTACATGTCATCATTAGCCCCTGAACTGATTTGTTTCGAGGCTTCGCCCAAAACTTGGTTCAAATCCCATTTCTTATTTTTACCCCTGCCACTTGTTTTTGAGTGTTTCCTCGCCCCTTGGAACTGAGTTAAAAGGAGTAGTGGTCGAAATCCTCTTCCTCTGAAATGGGACCCTCAAATAAAAAGAGCATCACTTCATTAACAGCTACCAGCGCTGCTCTGTAGGCGACCCTGCCAGTCTGCAGTGACAGCAGAGGAAGGTAAAGTTCAGCTCCTCACTGCTGGGCTTTAGTTACATTTAGGGCATCATATGCCTTCAAAGAGGGGGGCAATTATTTATTATCACCCACCCCTAATTCTTCAGTGATATGAAGCTGAAGTCAGATATTCACCAGCTTCTTGTTCAAATTTTTCCGTTCCACCATTTAAGGTTTAATGGAGGAGCCAGAATGTAACTGCTGCGCCATTTAAGGTGGAACAGGGAATTTAGCTAGCTAGCTACCAAGACATCAGCATACTGCTAGTGACTTTTTGTGCTTGTTATGAAGAAAAGGACCATAGTACACTGAAACAACATTAAACTAAGATAATACAGTGGGTATCGTAATTGTTAACAGAGAAAATTCTCACATTTGTGGGTTTCTTTGGTCTCTTGTTCAGCCGTCTTGACTTTTTTTTTTTTTCTCAGAACTCTCTGTTTGGAGTCTCTGAAAAACCTCCATTTGGAGGGTCATGTAGCTCTAACACTTCACCCTACCCCTCTATCTCAACAAGAATCAGGACACCCTACCCCTTGATGTGAACTCACAAAACAGAGGGGTAGAGCTGAGTGGTAGGGGCGAGGGGTGAGATGGGACTGGGCCTTAGTCTGGTTGTGGATGTTTCAAAAACAGTGTCACTGATTAGCTAAGCTTCTGCCACTGAAGCGAAGCGCTCAGGTCTGCTGCAGGTGTAAACATATTTGCTGCTTGTAACCTCTACGCACATGCCTCAGTGGGAAACCTACACATTTAGGATATAAAATGGAATAATTGTTCTTGAAGTGTTCACTCCTTTTCAAACACATTTATTTTTGTTTTGTAAAATAATTATTTACCCTGTTTGTAATTTTTATCTTGTGTCTGATCAGACCAGTAAATGAATCATTAACTTTAATCACAGACTTGCAAGTGTAATACATTCATGTTGAGCCCTGCAGGAGCTAATAAAGATCAACTGATATGAATGCTTCACTCTTAATCTGTTCCATTTTTCTTTCCTTTCATTTCTCAGTTTTTCCGCAGGTTTGGTGCAGGCTTGGCCTCAGTCAGACAGCGCTTGGTGATATGGCAGAACACCCTGAAGGAGATCGGGGGCAGGTTCGGCACCTCCGTCCTCTCGTACTTCCAGTTCCTGAAATGGTTGCTCATGTTCAACATCATCTCCCTCCTCATCAATTTCTGCTTCATCACAGTTCCCCAAATTGTGCACTCTCCAAATATCACACACCCAATAAGCTTCAGAGGACTGGAGCTGCTCACAGGAGTGGTGAGTTTATTTCTGCTGAAGATGTAATATTTGGTCAAAGACGTTCTTAAGTTGCTTAGAATGAATGAGGGGTGTTTGCCACCAAATATTAACATTGGATCTCATTTATTGATAGCCATGTTAGCAATTGTATCGTAACATTTTTGATCAGATGAAACCTATAGCTTGGGAGCAGTTCTAGCAGGAGAATTACAGCTACGTGTGTCGTTTTCTGTCAACAGGGTTACTTCAATCAGACAGTGTTGTTCTATGGAGGCTATAATGGAGAAGTCATTGAAACACAGCCTTCCTACAACATGCAGCTGGCTTATCTCTTCACCATAGCAGCCTACTTGGTGCTTTGTGGAGTGTCACTTATCTATAGGTATTGTACTCCAAAACTGTGAAATACACAGTGTTATTTTGTGCACTAAGTACATGCTGAAATGTACTTTGAATTCTAAAGTATTCTGTTTCCTTCATGTGCTTCACCTGTCTATTTGCAGAGTGGGACATCATTTAACATGGTGGGTTAGGAAATATTTCCGAGTTGTAAAATTGAGACAGTGTTATTAATTGTTTGCCACATTAGAGTAATTTGGTTGAACTATACGTTTAAAGAAATACACCGATCAGGCATAACATTATGACCACCTCCTTGTTTCTACGCTCATTGTCCATTTTATCAGCTCCACTTACTATATAGGTGCACTTTGTAGTTCTACAGTTACAGACTGTAGTCCATCTGTTTCTCTGATACTTTGTTAGCCCCCTTTTACCCTGTTCTTCAGTGGTCAGGACCCCCATGGACCCTCACAGAGCAGGTACTATTTGGGTGGTGGGTCATTCTCAGCACTGCAGTAACACTGACATGGTGGTGGTGTGTTAGTGTATGTTGTTCTGGTATGAGTGGATCAGACACAGCAGTGCTGCTGGAGTTTTTAAACCCTGTGCCCACTCACTGTCCACTCTATTAGACACTCCTACCTTGTCGGTCCACCTTGTAGATGTAAAGTCGGAGACGATAGCTCATCTGCTGCTGCACAGTTTGTGTTGGTCATCCTCTAGTCCTTCATCAGTGGTCACAGGACGCTGCCCACAGGACGCTGTTGGCTGGATGTTTTTGGTTGGTGGACTATTCTCAGTCCAGCAGTGACACTGAGGTGTTTAAAATCTCCAGCAGCACTGCTGTGTCTGATCCACTCAGACCAGCACAACACACACTAACACACCACCACCACGTCAGTGTTACTGCAGTGCTGAGAATGATGCACCACCCAAATAGTACCTGCTCTGTGAGGGTCCAAGCTCAGTTTTTCATGAACTGAAATGGATCTTGAACAAAGTTTTGCGAGGCAAGGTAGACCTCAAAGATAAGACATATGTACGGTGAGTAGTTGGTTTAGTGGTTAACACTGTGGCAGATTGTGCCATCATTTTAGGCTGGTTAGGGAAAGACTCCTAACATTTCCTTTGAAACATAAGAAGAGTGTCTGCCACATCCTTTAAATCAAATTAAATTTCATTCACGTTCAAGTTGAACATTTTTTCCCGTTGACCCCCAAAATGTCTGTGCACGGGCCCAAAGTTTGAATTATTAATTTTAGCACTGGACTTGCTGATGTAGTCAACACAGATTAGCTTGATTCAAACTGCATGGCTAAATCATTACTAGCGTCACCAGCTTTAATTATATACCTTAAAGGGGAAGTCCGCCGAGTTTTAAAAAATGTCAGAATTCTTCACTGTGGTGGTGATAGGAACCAGACATCCGCCTCTAAAAGCTGAGAGCACAGAAAGTTATTACATGAAATAATTATGAATTCACTGCCTGATGTCTGAGACACTGTTTTGGAGGAAACATGCAGGGCGTTGTGAGAAATAGCCCCCAAAGAAAATCTATTATTTTCAGATTTATGATATTTTTACCATCAACGTTACTTATAAAAACTCAGAAGACTCTGGTGGGTTTGGATAGGATGTGAAATGGACATGTTCGTTTTGTAGACGTGGTGCCCCCTGGTTCCTATCACCACCACTATAAAGAAATCTGAGTCTGCAGTGAACCATTTCATGTCAAACCACTCTGAATGACTCTGTTATGAAGGACTGAATTGTTCAGAAATTTTGAAAGCTTGGTGGAATTCTCCTTCAGTTGTTACATAATCTCAGATAGACTTATGTAGTTTCATTTTGTCCATGAAAGATGGACACAGTTACACTGCATTGCTAAAACAGTGGTAGTATGCTTGACTGTATGGGCTTCTCTCTGTTCTCAGCATGGCCAGGTCCTTTCAGAGGAACTTTGTGTTAGTGGCCGGTCCCGCCTACGGGGGAGCGTGGCGTCTTTTGTGCAGCTGGGATTTCAGCGTTATCAACGAGAAAGCCATCCAGCACAACAAGGACAACCTCTGCATCCAGCTAAAGGTCTTTCTGTCTTTCTCTTGCATTTTATTTCTGTTGCAGAAGATGATCTTTTGGGAGTTAAAACCTTAATTCCATAGAAATTGTAAATCTTACAAAGTTGCAAAGACCCACTTGCAAAGTGTTGATATAGCCCCTGGACGCAACCCAAATGTTCAGAAGAGCCATTCTGTCCCTTCAATAAAAATCAAACCACCTTGAGAGCCACAATGTTTTGTGTCCATTTTACCATCTTGGCTGTAAATACGTTGCAGTATGTGCTGATGTATTACAACAGGCAAAAATATATATAATATAATATATAATATAAACAAAAATGCAGACTTCCTTTGCTCTGCTTTAAGCTTTAGCTCAGCTGTAGCTGCTTTTCTCGCATCTCCAGTAGGAAACTTTTCTGCAAAAGTGCAACAGTTTCTTGTAAAATCTCTCTCAATATTCGATTTTTTACGAGGCTGAAGTCGCTTCTCATTCAGCTGCTTCTTGTTTGAATTCTCCTGTTCTGCCTTAAATGGGCGTCAGAATGTAACTGCTGCACCATTTAAGGTGGAACGGGACAATTTGAACCAGAAGCTGGAACCAGAAACTGACCTCAGCTTCATGACTATTAATGTTTGACAGTTTCTTGTTGCAGATTAAACGTGTCAGGAAACCAGCTGGAGTGATTATAAATACAAATAAGTCTATTCGTCTGTAAATTATCAATGTTCGTCTTTAATCTTTCTCTTTGCCGTTTCGTTAGCTACTAGCTAGGCGAGACTGTTGTCTGCATTGCTATGTGACGAGCAGCCTGCGTGCCAACCTTAAGGTTAAAGGGTGAATTAGCAGTTCTACATGAACTCCAGCATTTAAGATCATTTATTGTTAAACTGTGTTGAACGATCAGCAGAGCTTTATTTTACTGTAAAGGACGATTATTTTATTTTTACCCACAAATCTAATTTTGCTGTGGAGCCACAACAAGGCAATAAAAGAGTCGCATGTGGCTCCTGAGCCAAATGTCGCCGACCCCAATATAGCCACACCCCCAACAGCTGTAACAGTCCAGATGAACTCTGGGAGATCAAGCTTTGTAGGTTCTTGGTTTAAAAAAGCCCAATATCTTTAGACATATACTGCAAAATGTCATGTTTTTATTTTATTTAGAGGGCGTGAAAATTGATCAGAGCTATTTGATGTCATGACTGGTCCCTGTTAAAGTTGCACTGTCCCTATTTGTATCAGCAGCACCTGTTTACATCGTTGCCTGTGTTGTTCAGGAGTCTTTATCTGAGCGACTGGAGAGGAAAGCTGTAGTGTCAATATCAGCTAAGCTCCAGCAGATCTCTCTGCAGCTCCTGGCCTGGCTGCTGTCTTTAGGGCTTGCCCTGGGCTCCTGCGCAGGCATCTACTTCCTGGAGTTAAATCTGGATGAGTTGGTGAGACACCCCTTTTATCACCCCTTTTAAACAATGTTAGAATATTAAAAAAGTACCCCTTGTTAGAATCTACAAGAACAATTTTGTTCATGTCTGACGCCAGTAGGTATCTCTGAAATTCTAAATAAAATTTTGTGCTTAAAATGTATCTCTTGTACCCTGAGGATCTGTGTGTGAGTTTAATTCTTCATACTCATAACTACATAACTCGCTTTTACTTTCACTGTAGCAGAATCGACACGGCCCATGATTTTTTCTTGCTTGCATGTTCTTTTCTCCTACTCATCCCAGATACCAAGCATATCTGATTCAGGGAATTTAGAAGAGGAAGGCTCCACGTTGCTCGTGCCTGTTGTAGTGTCTCTTATCAACCTCGTCATTCCTCTCATCTACTCCCTCATTAATAAAATGGAGCACTACACCAACCCTCGTACCAACGTCTACGTCATCATCCTGAGGTCTGCTCAGTAAAGCCTTTGACTGCATGTTTAGAACATATTGAGGGCAAGCTATTCTAAACAACATGTAAATAATCTTATATTATCATATTGGTCATCAGTATGTATGTTAATGCATAAGAACTGTGTAATTCCTGGATGAACCACAGTGTTCTAAAATTATTTTTGTATAAAAAATTAAGGATAGGTCGACATATATGTATAAATATGTATGTATATATATGTGTATATATATATATACACACATATGTATGTGTGTGTGTGTATATAATTATGGAATGCCTACTGAACAAAACACCATGATTGCATTAACTGATCCAGAGGTGTGGACCGACTCGAGTCACAAATTTGATGACTTTAGACTCAACTCGAGAAAATCGATAAAGACTTTGACCTGAACACCAGTGACTCGGACTCTGATTCAGACTTGAGCGCTGTGACTTGGAAAAACATGAGACCCGAAGCGCAATAAACGTGGAGAGTCTGACTGCACATGGGACTCTATAAAGTCGATTATTTATCATGTGAATGGATTCGTTTCCTGCCGTAAATTGAATAAACAGCAACCTCGTCAAATGTCTGTTGCCGTGCTTATGCTCGGTTTATTTTATTTCGGAAGACAAGAGAAGCATTAGAACTCAAGTTTGCCTCCCTAAGCTGGAAACAAGCGAAGCGTCAACAGCATCAGTGCGCCCAGCTCAGCACTTAAACTCTTACTGGAGAAACTCACCAGGTGAACTGACGATTTTCCTCATGATAGCAATACAAAAAAAAAAAAGCTCTCTCTTTTTGACCAATTTTAACAGCTTTTGCAGGTAAAACGAGAGCACCATTCACCTGGAGGCTGAAGTCGACTTTTTATTAACCAGCTTCATACTGGAATTTGCCGTTCCACCTTAAACCGGAACGTAACTGCTGCACCATTTAAGGTGGAACCGAAAATTCAAATAAGAATCTGGCGGAAAAAAGTCAACTTCAGCTTCGTACATTCACCATCATTTTGCTCTTTTCTGTAAACTTTGTGCTGAGCTAGTTTTTATTTTGATCCTGTGCACCCAGTGTTCCCAAAAATCATCTTCAAATATAAATATATATTTTTTAATTAAGCTCAGCAGTACTTTTAAAATTCTTTTCATATGTAGCGCACTACTCTTTGTGTATACAGCATGTCTCTTACGGTTATCTGTGTACCATGGGTTTTGTACTTTAGTTAAAGGGTAAAAAATAATAATAACGCCTAACGTGCCTTTATTAAAAGGTTACAGTACCGTTACCATTATTCAGTGGTATGGTCTTAAATTAGCTGAAGCATGCAGACTGACTTGTTTAGGACTCAAAGATTACGACTATTGACTTGGGACTTGATTTGAGATTCGCCTGCACTGACTCGGGACTTGAATCGAGACTGGACTACCTTAATTTGGGACTTAACTTGGGACTTGACTCGGGACTTGAGTGAAGACTTGAAACTTACTTGTTACTTGCAACTTAGTGACTTGTTCCCACCTCTTAACTGAAAAACCCAAAAAAATTGGTTTAAAAATCCAGTCGTTATGTAATACGTGGCAGGTATGTGGTGAGTTTTGCCTAATGCCTAAAAAAGATAGTGTAAGTTAATTCAGCCATTGTGATGCTCCTCAGAAATGTCCTGCTAAAGATGTCCATCCTGGGAATTCTTTGTTACTACTGGCTGAGTAATGTTCCCACTAACTTTTCAGTAAGTATATTAAACATAATTTAATCACACATCGTTATGATGTTGCATTTTACTAAACCTGTGACTCTTTTTTAGTGCTGGGAATCCTTTGTGGGTCAGAGTGTTTATCGGCTGCTGGTAGTCGACTTCATATTCTGCCTGCTCGGCTCTTTCTTTACAGAATTCCTGCTCAAGTAAGTCCATCAGCAGTCCTTCAGAATAAAGTCTGTTTAATCCTTAAACAATGACTGTCCTGCTGTAATTCCTAGACTGTAATTTTCAAATGTGACATTTACAGAGTTTAGTAAATTGCTACTCATGAAAGCTCTGGAATGAGAATGTTGATCCTGCCTTCTGTAACCCTTCATTTAATGTCATTGCTTTTCATTTGCAGCGTAATTGGAACTAAATGTATTCAAAGTCTGGGTGTCCCAGAGTTTGACGTTGCTACAAATGTGCTGAATCTTATCTACGCCCAGACACTGGCATGGTCTGTTATTATATGTGGATTGTTATTATATTTTATTGCTTGGATAATTGAGTCAAAGTGCTTACCAGCTTGTTATATTTATATATCTTTTGACACTAAAATTAGACCTCACTGTACTTTGCCCTGTCTGACAGGATTGGAATTTACTTCTCCCCACTCCTTCCCGTCATTCAAGTGATTAAGTTGTTTATTATCTTTTACCTGAAAAAGGTACGTCATGCAATGACATCAGCATGTCTCTTGCTGTTGTGATATCGTGCCATATGTGAACTTTGTTCTCAGCTGTGTTTCTGGCCCTCATTCAGGTCAGCCTGAGCATGAACTGCCAGCCGCCCAAGCGCACGGGCAGGGCAGCCCAGATGCAGACCGTGTACATCGCTCTCCTCTTCTTCCCCTCATTCGTAGGGGCGCTGTCCATGGTGGCCTACACAGTGTGGAGGTAGGACACTAAACCCAGTCTGTTCTCTTCAGTCAGGCAGGCGGTCAGTGGCAATACAGGGCTCCAGACAAAAAATTAGCTTAAGGAGCCACCAGCTCCTAAAAGAGAAAACATGAGGCGCCAGTAGCTTTTTTTTAAGGGCCAAATAATAATATGCAAAAAAATTAAATAAACCAGTAAAATAAAATAAAGTAAAATAAAAAAATAAAATAAAATAAATAAAATAAAATAAAATAAATAAAAAATAAAATAAAATAAATACAATTTTCAACACACCTTAGATCAGCTCTGTGATTTAAGTATTTCCGCCTTCCACATTGCCTGATTCTTGTCTTACATTTTATCATACATCTTCGACACATCCAGTCCGCTTTTTACATTAACAACATTTCGGAGGTGCATTTGGTGTAGGGTAGTTCTCTATGTGCTGTCGTGTAGGCTGTGTTAAATATAATTTTAAGCTCTTCGAATTCTTTCTTGGCTGTTTTTTCACATGTATGAGACACTCCGCTTGCTAAGGGGGTAGGAGCACTCTTTGTAATAATAACATTGCGTGCATTTTTACATATTTGACTCTCGCCGTGTTTTTTCAGTCTCTTTTTTGAAATGATTCGTTCCTGTTAAGAAATCCATTTTCCAGCTATATCTTTGCTTGCTTTCAAACGGAACCTGCAATATAGTTTGGTTTATGTCATCATACCCAAGCCGCACAAATTCCTGAAGCCAATAAGTTCTGAAATTTTTCTGTGGTTGAACCTTTTATGAAGTACATCTTCATGTGCATCTTTCTCTGGTTTACTGCTCCTGAGTAAGACGGGTTGAGCAGATGACTTCTTAAGGTCTCACAGGGACGTATACTATGTGAAAAAATCTGATATTTTGGATAGGTGGACGCATCCATGTGACGCCAGAGCCTATCAGTTATTTTTTGAGATGAAAAATGATCAAAAAAAAAACATAAAAACAAAAAGGTAATAAATACAGAGCAACAGTAATAAACAGTAACTCATAAAAGAAAATCCAAAGTTGCTCCCTGGCGCCACTGGCGACTTAATTCATTTTATTACTCGCAAATGAATAATTGTGGTCACAGCTGCGACCATTTTAGTCACAGTCTGGAGCCCTACAATAAGAATTGCGGTTGGACTTGGTTTCTGAAATCTTTACATTAATAAGAATATTGCTATTGTAGTGTGGAATTAGCCAGCTTTATACCTTGGAACAGCATCAGTGATGCCAGGAGAACCAGCTCAGCAGGGATGACCCCTACGGTCACCACACCGTTGTTATCTATTGCACTGGTTACAGTTAATGAAATTTCGCCAAAATGGAAAAAAGAAGGCATAAAATGATCTCCAAGGCAACTGGGCACTCAGGCCACATGCTTTACATTTTTAGTGGTCAAAATGTGAATTGTTTATGCTTGTTGTTGGGGTATAAGCTTCCATTACTTGTATATTAGGTACATTAGGTAGGAGGTACATCAGCCTCATGGCTCCAGGGAAAAACTAAAGAAGCAAACGTCAAACACCAAACATGCCCTGGCCAAATTACCACATTTGTGGTAAGTGTGAAAAATGTGTATTTGATTTTTTTTGCCAAGCTATTACAGTTTCAGTCAAAGGTTGAGATCGTCCAATAGGAAAGGCCTTTATTGGCCGTTGTTGTTGGTTCTGACTTTATTTGAGAACTAAGAAACTCTTAGATCTTGCTTAGATGATGAGTTTCAGGCTGCACTTCATTTGACTCATGAGGGGCTTTGCAGTTAGATGAGCTGAATCAGGTGTACTAGAGCATGAAGAACATTAATCCCAGTGATGAGACCCAGCAGTATCCCATTTTGTTTGCCTTGCAGTCTGAAGCCTTCTGAGCAGTGTGGGCCATTCCAGAACCTCAGCACGCCCTTCCAAGTCGTTCACGATTGGATGAAAAACGTCCAGCATATTCCAGGATCAGAATGGGCCTGGTGGATATTCGAGCATGTGCTGAGAAGCGAGCTATTCTTCTACCTCATCACTCTCATCGTCCTGTAAGGCCTTAATGCACACCTTAGCCTGCTCTCCAGCCTGTTTAAACCTTAGAGGGAGAAGGTCGCTATGTCTGTCCGATCCTGTTTCACCCTTCGCCCCTACCACTGAGCCCTTGGCCCTCTGTTTTGCGTGTTCACGTCTAGGGTAGGGTGTGCCAATTTTTGTTGAGATAGAGGGGTGGGGTGAAGTGTTGGAGCTACATGACCCTCCAAGCTGAGGTTTTTCAAAGACTCCAAACAGAGAGATATGAGAAAAAAAGAAAAACCAGCAAGATGGCTGAACAAGAGACCAAAGAAACCCACAAATTAACAAATTACGATAATCACTGTTTTATCTTAGTTTAATGTCGTTTCAGTGTATTTTGGTCGTTTTCTTCATAACAAGCATGAAAAATCATTAATAGCATGCTAATGTCTCGGTAGCTAGCTAACTTTCCTGTTCCACCTTAAATAGTCCAGCAGTTCTAACGCCTGAAGCACCAGAATGTAACTGCTGCTCCATTTAAGGTGGAACGGGGAAATTCGAACAAGAGGCTGGTGAATATCTGACTTTAGCTCCATATCACTGAAGAATTTGGGGTGGGTGATAATAAATAATTGCCCCCTATTTGAAGGCATATGATGCACTAAGTGTAACTAGAGCCCAGCAGTGAGGAGCTGAACTTTACCCTCCTCTGCTATCACTGCAGACTGGCCTATATATATGGGACTGGGCCTTAGTCTACTCTTATCTTTTAATAACATGGTTCTTTTTGGTTGCATTTATTTTGACATGTAAAGATACTGGGGACGGGCAATATGACGATATATTAACACTGAGGAACTGCTTGCTTCATGACAAAGCTCATCCTTAGTCATGTTTAATTGGATTTAGTTCAGTTAATTGGATTTAGTTCAGTTCAGTATATGAAACCTTAATATATTCAGTTATTCAAGTTTTTGACAGTATTTTTTAAACGTTTTTTTTCTGGTTCTTGTCAAATCCACAAACATGTTGTAGTTTTTACTATGTTACACCCCCCTCCCCCATAAAGAAAATGATTAACCAATTTTCACTTTATTATTTCATAATGTTTCACACTGCAGCTTTTTATTCTTACGCCCTTTCAAGTTTTAAAAGTTTATTGTCATACGCACAGAGAAACAAGACAGTAACACTATACGATGAAATACTCTGTGCTTCCCCCAAGCTACAATACAAACACTATCTAAACACTCTTGGAGGAATGTATTGCTCTGTAATGTGTTTAGTGCTGTGTTGTATGTCATTATATTTAGTATTGTGTTTGGGACGAGGTTTGGATTCTTTACTATATAAGTTTTAAGTTAAAAAAAGCTAAGAACAAAGTACACAAAATATAGGAGAGTAAAAAAATATACACTTGCTAGTTTTATGTTACTATTTGTATGGTACAAGTGTATAAGTTTTGAATTACAATTACAGCTAGAACTATTCGAGTTATTAAATAGTATCTTGTCAACTGAAATTATCTTAATTCTAGGTGATCTATTTAATTTTAAATTTTATTTCTTATTTTGAGATGGTTGTGCACTTCTAGCTTATTTCTAGACTTTTTTTTTTTTACCAGTTTTAAGTAGTTTTATCAGGAAAAATGATCTTACTATATTGGCAGATACATTTCTTAAAACACAAAATTATCTGCCAGTATAGTGAGATAAATTGACTTAATAAAATCACTTTATTTATGACACTTTGAATTAAACAATCTCAACATGAGAAATTTTTTTATTAGATTTAAGATAATTTTACTTAACAAGAGATCATTTTTTCGAGTGTTCCTGAAGAAAATGCAGAGTGATTGCGCAGCTTCAGCTTGCTAAGATGCTGCTAGGCAGCTGCTATGGTATCCCAGGTGGTTGCTATGATATCTCACATGTTTAGTTGGGTGTTCTGATGGACTTGTATCATCTTGATTTAAGCTGGGTGCGCAAACTTTTACCTTCCATTCATTCCTATGGGGAAAAATTGTCATTTAACAGTGATCATATGAAAACCATACATGGGATCAAAAAGCTGTGTACAAGAACACCATTCCCTTTCAGACAGAACATTCTGGAGTTGGAAAAGTGTTGATATGACAAAAACTGCAGGACAAGTTAGTGAAAATGTGGCAGGAAAAAAATATATATAAACCGCCAGATAAGTTAAAAAGCAGCGTCTGCCACGGTGGGCTCCATCTCGCATGAAAGAAATCAGTAATAAGCATTTCCATTGCCACATTAACACGTCCACATGTGCCCAACAACAAAGGCAGCATGGAGCTTCTTTTATACAGTGGTAGGAAACATGGTAGCTGACAGGAAAACTCTGATTCCACATGCTTATCCATTTTACTGACCCACATAGACATGCAGACTCACCAACTACTTGGGGGGAGGATTTTAATCAGTCAAAGGAGACAAAGACCAAGACATTATATAAGATACTGTTAAAACAAGCTCACACTGTGCAGAATCAGATTAAAACTATGCTTTTATGATGAAATATTTCGGGTTTTTTACAGGAATTTCATGCGACATTCGGCTGCAGTCCTTTAATTTCTCCCTTATCTCTTCTTCGTTTCAGCGTTTTTACTTATTTTGTCTGGCAAGTCACCCAAGGCCGGAAGCAGCTCATCAAGACTCTCCGAGAACAGATTGTCAATGTGAGTGCTGAGCTCAGAGAGCCTCAGGGCTGGTCAGCCTGTCCCTAGCCTAGTGTGCTCATTTCCACATAGTTCTCTTTGTCTTGTGCAGCAGACCCACTGCAGCAGCTTCACAGAAGAGAAAAAAACATTTTGATTTCCTTGCAAGATATTCCTCTTATCCCCCGTAATCCCTGCCTTCCTTCTCTTTATTAGGAGGGAAAGGACAAGGCCTTCCTGCTGAATAGATTACAGAACGTCCAGAAACAGAAAAGAGATGCCATGACCTTCAAGCCCCAGGTGACTTCTTATCACTCTTAATAACCATAACACTCCAGTTTCTATCACTAATGGTTTTGTTTGTGAAGACTAGCTTTAGTTTACTCAGTGTGTTATGTGCATTTTCAGATCTGTATCAGTGCAAATTAGAAAGATGGATCGCTCATGAATAATGCACCAATGGAGAATGCCATAGGCCAGGCAGGCGTGCTGTGGAGGGAGGCTGTTTTTGATTCTTGCGTCTGTTAGCTGGAGCGTTAGACGGGTCATTTGTGAAATATTAAACCGCAAGGAATTAAACGCCCACAGATCTGAACACAGCTAGAAACGTACGATAAAGTTTTGACTGTAAGAATCGACAGGCGTTTAAAAACATAAAACAATCACTTTGCTTCAAGGAACACAGTATTTTCTGATCTTCCAGTAAGGAATCAGATAAGATGTGTGTTTGCTCTGTTCTCTGTGAGGACCTTGTTTTGGTGAGACACTGTTTTAGCCATTCTTAATAAGGCCCCTGTGTAGGGCTGAAAGATTAATCGTTTTTATATCCCAAGGGCTGCAATTTTTATCATAGTCTTACAGTCTAATTACACTCTTACAGATGGTTCTTCAAGGGTTCTTTAGTAAAGAAAATGGTTCTATATAGAACTGTGAACACCTCAGAGAATGCTTGGCATGATTAAATGGTTCCTCGCATCATGAAAGGGTTCTTCAGACTGATGGAGAATGTGCTGTAGATTGTTCTGTGTAGAACCTTTTTGAAAAGGGTTCTATATAGCACGCAAAAGCATTCTTCTGTTTTTACGGTGTCAAGCTAGTAACAATAGCAGAACCCTTTTGGGTGCCATACAGAACCACATACAACACATTTTCTGTCAGAAGAACCGTTTCACAGTGCAAAAAAACATTTAATCAAGCCAAGCGTTTTTTGAGTGTTCATAGATCCATATAGAACCATTATCTTTACTAAAGAACCCTTGAAGAACCATCCTTTAGAAGTGTGAATGTTAATATGTTTAAGTATAAGTTTAAGTAGGGAAATTTAACCTAATCCCACGGAGCTTGTGAACTGCTTTTAGATGAATTTGACGAATCAGAAGCAACCAAACAATGTGTGCTGTGAGATTACAACTGCAAAAAACTCCGTGTTGTGTTCAAGCCTCAAGCCAAAAACATCTTCTTAGTAAAAAAAGGACCATACATCAGTTTATAGAAAACATTCGCAATTTAAATCATAATCGCAATATTGGACAAAAAAATCACAATTAGATATTTCGCCAAAGTCGTTCAGCCCTACCCTTGTGGTATTATGCAGACTATGCAGGTATGTCAGTTACAGCCAAATATTAATAACACTCAAGTGTAAATAAGTGCTTTATTTACAAATATGGCCCTGTTTATCTGCACATTGGATTTTGCTGAGTTTCCTAAAGAATCACTTCAGCGCCTGTTTAGAAATTAAACAGTGGTGATAGGAACCAGACGTCCACCTCTAAAAGCTCCCTTACTACATGAAATGAAACCTATGATGCCTGAAGTCTGACACATTCTTTTATGATGGTCTTGTGATAAAGTTTTGGCTCCAAATGTATTTTAATCCATTTATTTTAATCTTTTCATGATGGAGGGATACATGCAGGGCGTTGTGAGGCAAAATAGTCCCCAAGGAAAACATAATTTCAGATTCCAGACTATTATAGCATCATCAACATTATATATAATGAAAGTAAACCTAGCTATGTAGATCACGATACCAGCTAACAAGGAGAATAAACATTGGAACAAGCAGATGTTGAAGCAGCTCTAAGCTTTAGCTGGCTCGTTAGCACAGCTGGTTACAGAAACATTTGCGACAAGAAACTCACTCGTTTGTTATCATGGCTCAGGAAACGGAAAAAGTCAGCTGGGGGGGGTGGGGGTGGGGTGTCTGATTTATACTTCCTTCCCCACCGTTTTGGAAAAATCTTTTTAAAGTGTGTTGTTGAACATGATCACGTGATGCGCTATTTTGACTGTTACATGAAACGTGTTTCATGGGGTTGAGATCCTTGCAACTGTTGCGGCCGAGTTTCAAGTGACTTGCAAATCGTTTTACATTATGAACTTGAGTGCAATTTAGTGTCATGTAGGTTTCAAGCAACCAAAGTTGCAAGAAAGTTGTAAAAGCACCATGTAAAAGCAGGTAATGTTAAGCATGTGTTGAAAGTAAAGACGCCAGCTAGAACGTCTTTTAACTTTAATATCGTTGGCTGAAAATGACCATCATGCACTTTCCTAGTATATCTCCATTTGTTTCTGACTGTAACGTCAAGCTAGCCCAATGACGAAAAAATGTGCAGCAACTGAAATGTTGGTCAAATCTAAACATCAGTCCAATTCAAATCTTTTTTTATAGCAAATATCACCTGATAACAATATTCCGACATAATAGGCATCCTTATAATTTACTTCTGTTGGATTATATACTTTGATTCAACACCCACGGAAACCCTGCGATTGGCCAGGATGCACATCACACAGTACAAAACTGTGGTTGGTTCAAGGTTCATTTGCATCAATACTGGCTGATTATGATTAACATACTGATTAACAAACGATAGATCGTGTGCAGCCTGGGCAGTGTGTGCTGTGCTTATGCATATGGTTTTCAGATATATTTTAAGGATGAGAGAGACAGGCGAGAGTCAGCAGCAGGCAGACTTACTGAGAGAGAGTCAGCAGTGAAGCCTCAGAGAGAGAAGTCAGGGTTAGCGAGAGCAACAATACACAGCACACCGCCCTCTCAGACCCCCAGAGACCTTCACAGACCTTTGGGTGTCCAGCCTGCGCGGGGTCAGAGGCGGAGCCCCAGGCGAGGTAGGGCTGCACGATATATTGTTTATTAGTTGACAGTTGTTGCAGTACTGGCCTTTACTGTACAGTAAGAAAATAAGCCTGTAACAAAATACCACGTTATTGTGTGTTGGTAAGCATCTTGATTACTTCTGTGGGAGGCATTTGCATCCAGCACTAATAAATAAATATCAGAAATGCTGCTATTTAGGGCTGGGACCACTTACCGATAAACCATAAATCAATAAGTAGAATGTATAATTTTGTTCTTTCCATTCTGTAAGCTTTGCACTCTGAAACTTCTCCTGGTTTTACTTCATTTGTGGGTGACTGTGGCGTCGGCGTGCTGCTACGCACCATCAGAAACAGTGGTTTTCATTTTATTTATAGTCTTATTTATAGTCTTATAGTCGTCATGAGATTTTTTACAGCTGAAAGAAGCAGCTTCTATTTTTACGCACTGAATCTTTGACCAGTTGCGACATAAAGCCGCAGACTCTGGGTAACGGCCCATTCTGCTAAAAAGATCATCACCGGTTTTTTTCAGCAGTGCTGTGTGATGAAGACTGAGAGGAGGGCAGTGTGACAGCATTTCATCCATATTGATACACAATATAGTTCTCTGAGCTTATCATCATCGATATTGTTAGTACATAAATGTTTCATTACAAAGAGAGCATATTTAGTCCTGTTGAATTGGGTTCAGTGCAGTATGTAGAATGTTGAATGAGAGTTTTTGATGGCAGTTTTTAAATGTGCTTCTGGTACTGCACTGTCAAAATATCATGATATTGGTTATTGCAGAAATGATTTTACATATTGTGAAATTTTGCCATTTTAAATTTTAAAACTCAGATTCTTATATATATGTCAGACCAAAAAATAATATATATTATTTATAGATTATTTATATAGATATATTGCTATCGGGACCAGACATATCTCCATTTTTGACATTTTTCGGTTTTTGACATAATTTGAAAATGCCTGTTACCCTTTACATTGTGTGTAAATTTCATGATGAATGGACCAAAAGAAACGGCCCAAAATCACTTGGAAAAAAGTCTGGTTCCATAGACTTACATTAAAAGTAAAGTATGTTTTTTCCTTCTCCTGTAAAGTTACCATTTTGGAAATATGAGGTTTTGTTCTGACGACAGCTATATACACACACACACACATAAATATGTAAATATATATACACATGTATGTATGTGTGTATACATTATACATATATATATATATATTTATATATGTGGCTGTGTGTGTGTGTTACTGAAAAATAAGAATTAGTGATGCTCTATTGCTCTAATCTGCTGTGAATTCATCCTAAAAAGTGAAACCTCAGTAAGGCTGAACACAAAACTTCTCAGTTTTACAGCTTTAATATCCGACTGTTAATTTCAGCTCTTCGTCAGTTTATACACTGGAATAAGACTAATAATCAGTATTGAAGAACACAGATGTTCTAATATGCCTGCTTCGAACACAAGTTCTAAAAGAATCTACACATTTATGGTTGTCTAGCTCATTTTTACCATTGTCAATCATGTCAATATTTATTTATCCACAATTGCTTATCGTCCCAGCCCTAAAACATATCAAACAGGGAAATATATCAATCATGCAAATTGCATCATAGCATTGTTAGCCACATTAGCATATTTGGCTTACCTTTAATCACATCCTCTAAAGAATTCACCAGTATATTTACTATAACTGCGAGGTGTACTGCAGTTATGATATTTATCAGCATAATATCCATGTGCTGTTTTGTTTACATCGTGTGGCCCTAGGGCGAGGTAGTCCAGGCCGAGGACGAGCAGCTGCTCGGTCAGAGCTTTCTGTGGAGGATGAAAGCCCAGCACTCAACTCCCATCCCGTGTGGCCAGTCAGGATTCTGGGTAGCAGGCCTCAAAGGCACACCAGACTAGAACCCCTACCTGTGAGAGATATGCTACTACCTGGGGCAGTAGCTGAGACCCCAGACCAACCCAACAGTGGGGAGGCCCACGCTAACGGACCAGGATCAGGGCAGTCAGCCTTCAGCCAGTCCAACAGGAGACATTCTCATTACCCTGACAGAGACTAGTGAGAATGAAATGATGGATCTGTTTAACACTGTATGAATCAGTTATTCAGAAATATGAACTAAAATACAGACAGAATGCAACGTACATTTGAAACTACATAAAGAAGTCTACTAGAGATTGCCTAATATGACAGCTCGACGGTTTTGTCCAAGTGTTTAAATTTGTGGCTGTACAGTCATAAGCAAAAGTTTGGGCACCCACAGAGAACACACTTCTGCACTTTTTAATGCACAATTACTGTTTACACCAATCAGGCATAACATTCTGACCGCCTCCTTGTTTCTACGCTCATTGTCCATTTTATCAGCTCCACTTACTATATAGGTGCACTTTGTAGTTCTGCAGTTACAGACTGTAGTCCATCTGTTTCTCTGATACTTTGTTACTCTGTTCTTCAGTGGTCAGGACCCCATGGACCCTCACAGAGCAGGTACTGTTTGGGTGGTGGATCATTCTCAGCACTGCAGTAACACTGACGTGGTGGCGGTGTGTTAGTGTGTGTTGTGCTGGTACGAGTGGATCAGACACAGAAGTGCTGCAGGAGTTTTTAAACCCTGTGTCCACTCACTGTCCACTCTATTAGACACTCCTACCTTGTCAGTCCACCCTGTAGATGTAAAGTCAGAGACGATAGCTCATCTGCCGCAGTTTGTGTTGGTCATCCTCTAGTCCTTCATCAGTGGTCACAGGACGCTGCCCACAGGACGCTGTTGGCTGGATATTTTTGGTTGGTGGACTATTCTCAGTCCAGCAGTGACACTGAGGTGTTTAAAAACTCCAGCAGCACTGCTGTGTCTGATCCACTCACACCAGCACAACACACACTAACACACCCACCACCACATCAGTGTTACTGCAGTGCTGAGAATGATCCACCACCCAAATAGTACCTGCTCTGTGAGGGTCCATGGGGGTCCTGACCACTGAACAACAGGGTAAAAGGGGGCTAACAAAGTATCAGAGAAACAGATGGACTACAGTCTGTAACTGTAGAACTACAAAGTGCACCTATATAGTCAGTGGAGCTGATAAAATGGACAATGAGCGCAGAAACAAGGAGGTGGTCAGAATGTTTTGTCTGATCGGTGTATTTGCTGAATGTAATACTTGGCAAAAAAGAAATCATAAAATGTGCCTGTGCAAAAGTTCTGGCACATTTTATCTATTTTTTTTCAGTTTGTTAAACTCAGCAAATAAACTAAATTTGTGCTCTAAAACTGCAGAGAAATGCCATATTTAAGTTTGTCACTTGTAGAGGTGGTGTTAACTTTTTTACTTAGAAAATAAACAGTACCTGTCATTTACTGGGGGTGTTTAAACTTTGGCACACGACTGTAAGCTTATGTTCTATATCAGCTGCGTCGGCCGTGCAGCTCCAGCACCAAAATAAATAAGCACACTTCGGACACTCGGCACATCTTGGCTGATTAACCAGATTTGCAGTTGGGAGGGAAACTGTAAGTTTGGCTTTTGGCTGAACCATCGCTGTAGTCTGTTCTAGGTATCGTACCGGGTGCTGTCAGTGTAGGGCTCTAGCATGACTGCTCTTAAAGACACTTCTAAACTGTTGTTGACTTTCTTCTGTGGGATTTTCCTTTCAGGAAAACGTGGAAACGACATACTTCAACCAAAACTGGATGAACACGTTCCCACTGGATATGTGAGACACTGTATTGAGGTTTTGCCATATTAGTACTGTAAAAATGTGAATGTGGACGCTCATCATTTGCGGAAGAGCGCCATCACTTGGACATTTGGCTGCAGAACAGGTGCGCAGCATCCCGGTGGGATGAAGCACTGCCCTGTGAAAGCATATCCGATTCAACTCTTCAAGTAAATCCAGGATCCAGGAGGTGGCGCTGCTTCCTTTCAGAGCAGCAGCCAGCAGCCCACCACTAAACCAGGCACACTTAAGGCTTTTTAATGTCATGCAAAGCTTTTCTTTAGGTCTGTTTTACCTTCTATACGTGAGGATTCAGTGATCAGTACATTTGTAGCACAAATTTTTAAACAGAAATTCTAAAACATACACAAATGAAACTTATTTAAATGATACTGTACTTTTATTGTGAAAAAGTTGTTGCTTTCATACACTAAGAACTGTACAATCAATAATTTAAAAACACATGTTCGGTTTGTTGTTTCAAGAACACTTGATTATTCCTTATTTAAGTTACTCAGCAGCTTTTAGCTTAAACCAAAGGAAACAAAAATATAGTGTTTACAATTGTATGTTCATTGCATTCACATCATTCTTCCCTTTATCTAACCCACAGCACACGTTACCGCGCGGGGCTGCTTTTCCACACACTGCTTAAGCCTGGTCTTTGATTAAATTATGCCGTCATTTATTTTATTATTATTATTAATTTTTTTTAATTCTGGAAAATAGGCTTAATCTGTGTCTGGAAAAGTGGCACTCAAGCTCATTCAGTTTAAAAGAAGGAGGTTCGGAATATGTAATGAGATAAAAATTAGAGGCTTATTTTAAGAAAACAAACAAACAAACAAACAAAAAAAAACAGAAAACACCTTACAATACAAAACCAGAGCTGAAACTGACGAGATCGACTTCTTCTAACTAAGCCACATAAATCTGCACTTTACAGTGTGCAGTATGGAGAAGAACAGCCCACCGCCTCCCCTCCAAGACTAAAACTAATACTAAGGGTTCTGCGGACGTGAAGAAAACGACTCGCTCCTTCAAAACATTCAGACAAGTTTAACGCCACTAAAGGAAAAACCTCTTCAGACACGGATTCTCACAGTGGGGCTCTATCGGCTGTCCGCTAGACAGTTTCTCTCTTCCCGAAGTAGCTTATGAGAGTGAAGCGGTGAAAAGTTGCAGCCCTTGGGTTCGGGTGTGAGGGGCGCCCCCTGGTGGCTGCCGCACCGCTCAGCCAGGCCTTAGGCTTCATTGGGTGGGGCTGCTATGGGGGGATTTGGGGCAAGTCCCTGAGATAGAGGAGGGTGGAGGACAGAGAGAACAGAGGAGGCTGACCAGCTGGTCAAACCTCCGCAGATCTGAGAGGGGAATCTATTATTCATCAGCAGTGAATCATGACTGAACTGGGTTTGGATCCATCAGAAGATGGACTGGACAGGAACTCTGCAGATGAGAATGGAGGAGAAGGCCCACTGTCCCTAAACGCACCTTTACTGAAGGAATACTCCAGCGTTTAACCTGATTTCTGCTGCGGTTCCTATCGTACGGTCAGCTACCGTGGACAGTGTTGGTGCTGGAGCAGCTGCCCACTGGCTTCTTATAAAAATGCTGAGATTGTTTTTATATCAAAATCGAGACTTAAAAGTGCAATTTTCAAAATCACAAGAGCTGCAATTTTAATTACAGCCAGTTTTTATTATCACTGTTGTCTTGGGGAACATTAACCTAATATCAGAGCATGTAAACTTAGACCAATCAGAATCAAACAACTATATGCCGTGACATCACAACCACAACTAACTGGCAGTCTGGCTTGATCGGTGTTCAACTCTCAAGCTAGAAAAAGTGGATGTTCTGGTGTTTTGGGCCAAAATAACAGGCCTGGACTTTAATCTACAGAAAACAATCACAATTTAAATCGCAGTCGCAATATTGATCAGAAAAATCGCAATTAGACATTTTTCACAAATCGTTCAGCCGTAGCCAACGGTACTCGGTACAGGGTAACGTTATTGTTTAAGGTAATTACCTGTATGTAGGTGCAGCAGATATAGATCAGGGTGAAAACATAGGAGTACTGCTTCAAAAGGGGCAGCGTGAGCAAGCTTGTGGTTGATTTTTAAATTTGAACACACAAACAAGCATTCTGTTCTACGTCCACAGGGTCTCAAAGCGATCGCGGTCAGCAGCGTCCAAACAGAAACCATGCTTTGTTCTATGTGCAGTTCAGAAAGGCTACAGCAAAGACGAGTGCGCTGAACTGAGTGCTGAGAGTAACACTGACTTTACTAAAACACTGAGCCGCTTTAAACTGAGAGGGAATGGAAACGGGGAACAGCTAAACTGAAAAAACTTGTCCTGGTGCCTCAAACTGATGAGAAGAACCAAACACGAAACAAACAGTTCCTACGTGGAGATTATGGAGGGTTTGGCACAAGGGCTGTACAAAAACTGCGACCGGAAAATTAGGGAGCTTCTGACAGACAGGGATGTGTTCCAATAATAACTCTGCGAGAGATGATGCTGCTTGTAAAGGCATGAGAAACAGACCAAGCATGACGCGTCCCAAGTGTAGGACAAACAAAATCGCCAAAACTGACCCCTGAGGAGGTTCACAATGTGATCCGCAGAGAAAGTCCTGACCCAACAAATAATATCTTCATGAGACAAGTTCTCCAGCACAGTCTGCCAAGAGATTTCCAAAGTCCAGTCATTATCTGCCCAGAAACAACAGCTGCTGTTACAAAATTTCCAGGGAAAATAAACACGTTCAGACCATCATAAGGTTCATCATTGTCACCATCTGCAGCGTTATCCAGCGTTATTCAGAGACCACAAACTTGCAGTGGAACTCACGTCTTTAATATATTAGTTCATATATTGGTTACGGAGCCGTTCCTCAACGTTCTGGTGACACAAAGCATGCAAGACGTGGTGATCCTTAAAAGCAGTTCATTGTCAGGCAGAAGGGAAGAACCCGAATGCGTCCCCATCCTTCAAGGCCAGGAGTTTATCACAAAGGAAAAAAAAACATGCGGAACCGGAGGTTAACGAGCCGAGGAGAACATCAACAGTGTTGGACGGGCTGGGTTCTCAGTCGCTCCGTCTCCACCAGAGGGCGCTATTGCAATAGAGGTGAATTTCGAGATTGACATTTTCACAGATTGTGTAATAAATCGCATGTTTAGGTGTAAATTCTTTAAGTGTAGTAATACAACTGCAGCAAATTTGGGGGGGCCGCCGCCCCTGCACTGACACCTCCAGTCACCTTTGCCCCAAAATCCTCATGTCCGTACTCCTTGAGCGTTGGGGAGAGAGGAGGGGGCGTACCCCCCTCCCCTGGGGACCCAGGCTAGGAGATTTTACAGTTGTTCCTGGTGCAGTTCTGTGGTGGGCTCTGCGGCGGCCGGATGGATTTGGAGCGTTTGAGGCTGTTGCCTTTGCTGCCCGTGGCGTTGGCTAGCGAATAGGAGCGGCCGTGCATCATGACCGCGTTCATGCCGTTGGCCATGGAGAAGGACTTCAGGTGGCTCTTGATGGCCACAGGGAGGGGCAGCTTATCGATCAGGTGAACCGGAGTGCAGGAGACGATCGCACGGCAGCACAGGTCCTGCAGGCTGAACACTGGAGGGAAAAAAACAAAACAACACTTTTATACAATGTCATGATGTGAGCTAATACACGCATCCTGCAGTTACTACATATACATACATATGTACACACACACACACACACGTATACATATCTATACATATGTACGTATATGTAACAGTTGCTGCTGGCGGAACGAAACCTCATCTCCAAAAATGGAAGAAGGAAAAAACATACTTTACTATGTACAATGTAAACAACAAAACTGAAAAATGGTGGTGTGTTAGTGTGTGTTGTGCTGGTCTGAGTGGATCAGACACAGCAGTGCTGCTGGAGTTTTTAAACACCTCAGTGTCACTGCTGGACTGAGAATAGTCCACCAACCAAAAATATCCAGCCAACAGCGTCCTGTGGGCAGCGTCCTGTGACCACTGATGAAGGACTAGAGGATGACCAACACAAACTGCAGCAGCAGATGAGCTATCGTCTCTGACTTTACATCTACAAGGTGGACAGACAAGGTAGGAGTGTCTAATAGAGTGGACAGTAAGTGGACACTGTTTAAAAACTCCAGCAGCACCGCTGTGTCTGATCCACTCACACCAGCACAACACACACTAACACACCACCACCACGTCAGTGTTACTGCAGTGCTGAGAATGATCCACCACCCAAATAGTACTTGCTCTGTGGGGGTCCATGGGGGTCCTGACCACTGAAGAACAGGGTAAAAGGGGGCTAACAAAGTATCAGAGAAACAGATGGACTACAGTCTGTAACTGTAGAACTACAAAGTGCACCTATATAGTAAGTGGAGCTGATAAAATGGACAATGAGCGTAGAAACGAGGTGGTCAGAATGTTATGCCTGATTGGTGTGTGTGGAAAAAAACAAAACAAAACGTTGCATATAGACAGTAATGTGCAAATCTGAGAAAATGATATGTAACATCCTTTATTTGGGCAGTAAACATTTGGTTGTTTCAAAAACTAAGAAAATCTTAACCATTTCCTGCCTTCTTCTCGAGGAAGTCCAGTTTGTTGAGTTACCATTAAATACCTCGTTTATCTAATCAATCCTTCATTAAATTAAATCAGGTGATGGCTGAGGTTCAGCATGAAGTCAGGAACCAAACCTGTTCTTCTAAACTACACATTCATAATTTTACTGATTAGCAGCACACATTTGTTCTTCTGTATTTATAGTTATTTTGTATTTATTTTAATGTTATATGGTGCTTTTACTGGCCCACATAAATAGTTAGACAATTTCGTGCAAAAGACATTTGCACAGTTCTATATAAAGGGTTTTTTTTTTTTGTAACACTAACCCTAAATCTAACCCCAGCCTTAACCTCAGAAACCAAAAAGAAATGGTTTTCTTCATTCATTTCTAATAAACAAAACCATTTTTAACTGTTTTTAAAGAAGCATTTTACAAAGTCAGGAAGGTTTTGTTAGTCATTGTATGTTAGTCCTGTTTTTCTCTGGTTTAAATACAAATGCAAGGCATGTTGTCTTAAAAATGTATGAAAACAAACATGCCTCTCTCACACACACACACACACACACACACACACACACACACACACACACACGCCCTGCACAGAACCAACTCTTCCCACACTGCTAAACTGAAACTGAATGAATTCTCCTCTTTATTATAACAAAGAGAGATCAGACGTCATCTTGTCTTATTTCTCACTCCTAATGTGTGTAAATGAAACTTTCCGATTGCGGCTTTTAAACCAGGATGATTTAAGTGCTGATTCCTTTGTGATCATGTGAACCTAAAGGCTTCTACACTCACATCTGCCTACAGATTGGACTGAAATCAGCTGATTTATGTGCAATTCTGAATCTCAGAGCTGCTGTAATTTAATAATCACAAGAAAGCCTCTCGGCTGAGCGACACAGCTGGAGCTGCAGTGCGGTTTGAGGGAAGTTAGAGAGAAAAGAGGGAAGAAAAACAAAAGTACAAAGTGAACCACCAGGGACTCGAACACAGGAGAAGAGTGCATTAACACCACCGAACACTGAACAACACTGCAGGACACTGTGGACTCTCAGGGGATAATAACACAGCGCGAGAGAGCGAGAGAGCAGAAGAAGAGCGAGAGGAGGGAGTATCTGAAAGTCTTCTGTCTCTAATTACGACGCTGGTTTGGATGGTAGACGGTGTGGTTTCCTCACTGTGGGGCAGCTGCGCTGAGGAGAGCACTTTTCACTTCTTCCGTGATCTAAGAACAGATGCAGAGCGTTCACACGACGACGCTCAGCTCTGCCTCAGGCCCACCAGGGCAGCGTTGCGTATAGGCAGGTACACGATGTATATCCACCTCTGAGGAGACTAGTTTACTGTTAAGTATGGACTATATCTAAAATAACTAGCACAACATTTTATAGTTTAAAACAAAAAAAAAAACTCAACTATCAATATTATCACCCCCCTTATAACACCACTATTCAGAAAGTGCGCGATGATTTAAACGTGTATGTAAATAAAACCTTTAATTTCAACACGGCTACAAATAACGAGACTTTCGTTATAGAAGTACCTTCAGTCTGAAGGACAGAATGAAGCACTACCTACAGCTGTTTAAAGCACCTGAACTTGTTGCTTGGATACAGATCACATTCCTTTAAAATGTACTAAAACATCAGCGGGATTAGCATAATCACCATAAAAAACACAGACTGTGTTTATGTGCACTTAATAATCCGATAACTGCAGAAAAATCTGATTTTGTCAGTAATACAATGAGCACGTTTACATGCACGTGAGTTATCAGATAATGGGGAAACTCCAGGTCTACATGAGTCAGACAGTAATGAGATTTCGGCTTTACAACCAGCCAATAAACTCACAGAAGACGATGTGACATAAACGTAACGTAAAACTTCATGACGCTGCTTTTTCAAAACGTCGAGTCCCTTTACCTGAAAATATGAACATACATCATCAAGCAGATGAAGAATATTTAAATCCTTCATTTCGTAAAGCATGTATTCAGTTTCAGCGTCGCTCCAAAAGTGTTTTACTGCGTCTCGTGGCGACGCTGCTCGCTTATTTCCGGTACCGCAGTCTGTTTTCACACATACTCAGACTGAGAAACCCGAAAGAAATCAGAGTAAGAGTTCACAGCACTGAGAAATCTGATTACTGAGCTAAAATCCAGCCTCTTTATCAGATTTCTAGACCTTACTACGATCTAAGAAATCAGTGTGCTGTTTACACAGCCATTTAAATAATCAGGTAACTGCAGAAATCTGATTATAATCGGATTATTGAGCGAGTAAACACACTCAATGACTGTTTCAAATTTGCGTCTTTAAAGTCCCAGAGTAAAGTATTAAAATGTTTTATAATACTAAACCTGAGTGTTATATTAACCCCTTATATGGCCACCAGCAGCTTTATTACACACTTCTATAATATCTCTACCAGTTTGCATTGAAGTTCCTGCAGTTAATAAATAATAAACCTAAGAGCACGTGTGTCAGACTCCAGTCCTCGCGGACCAAAACACTGCAGACTTCAGCTGACTGCCTCATTAAACACACCTGATTCAGCTCATCAGCTAATTAAAAACCTTCATGAACTGAGTTCAGAGCGTCAGATGAGGGTAAACGCTGATCTCTGCAGCACTTTGGACTGGCAGGTCCCCCGTCTGACTCGCCTGCCTTAGTATGTAATAAGCCTGAGATTTTTAGGGGTTAATTATCCAGCAAATATTGAATGAAAAATATAAATAAATAGAAAAAAAAATAACAGCTTATAAACTGCTGATCAGACCCGTCTGAGAACTGTGTGGGCGTGGCTAATGAGCAGCTTGATTGACAGCTCTCTGTCCAACACTCCTAGCCTGCTCCGCCCCTCATATAGAACTAAAATCATTATCCAGCTTTTATGTGACGGAAACTGGACGAAAAAAGTCACGGATGAACAGACGGACAGATGGACAGATGAAGTAACGCGTGAATGAAAGAACAGACGAGCAAACAATGTTTCCATTGGATAAACGAGTGAACAGCACAGGCAGCTACAGACAGGTGGTCTAGCTCACTTCTCTGACTCTGAAACTGCTCTGTGTGGGCGGGGCCACAGACGCAGCCTTGTGATTGGCCAGAGGGAATGCTTACTGAAGTGTTACCCAAGATTAGGACTGCCCAGTTTACACTGAGAGGAGGCAAATGTGGTGAAATATATTGGTCATTTATTGGTCAGTGGAACATTATTCAGAGGGTGAGCTCAGTAATGTTTACTGTTTACCTACAAGAACGAGATTAACCTGACTAGAACACAGATTTAGGTTCCCTGAGTCTTTAAACGCTGCGTTCTAGTGCTGCGCTCTCGCCTACAGAACAGAGGTTCTCCTGTAATGAAAGTCAGTGAAGCCGTGTTGAACCTGACAGATACTTACTAAGCTTATTTTTACCTGCAGCTCATATTCAGACTAAAATTCTCTACTGAAGGCTGCGATCCCCTCTGTAGGCGAGGGGGGGCGTAACAGAGCGAGCTGTAGGAAAATCGTGTGTTTTGCTGAATCAGCAGTGTTTGTTTTGGTCAGACGTTTGTGGTTAGAGGGACACGTTCCAAGCACACAGTACAGTTAGTCATCCACACAGCCTCTCTCTCTCTCTCTCTCTCTCTCTCTGAGTCACCTCGGTTTGGCCTCCAGAACTTCTCCATGCCGTGCCTCATGAGGACGATGCGCGACAGCTCCGTGAACGACTCGATGACGTTGAAGTTGCAGAGCGGACTCACTTCGAAGAAGGTCATGCCGTTCTTCTCGGCGTACGCGCGAGCCTGCTCGGTCGGAACCTGGCGCTTAAACGCCAGGTGCAGCCGATTCCCCACCAGTATCCTCGGCACTCCGGGAGCATGCTGGGAGAGAAAGAGAGAGAGGGATGTTTATATATGAGACGCAGGGGGAGGGATAACAAAAATACAGGAGAGAAATGAGGACAGAGAAAGAGGGAAAAAAGATAAAAAAGGGGAAAATATGAAAGAGTAAAAGAAAAAGAGAGTGATAGAGACTGCATGCAGGGTAGAGACAGACAGGCCGAGAGAGAGCATGCAAGAGAGGTAGACAGAAAGAGAGAGGGAGGTGAGAAAGAGAGCATGAAGGGGAGACAGAAACACAAACCGCAAGAGAGAAGCAGTGCACAAGAGAGGTAAAGAAAAATAGCAAGAAAGAAAATCAGGCAGAAAGAGAAAAACAGGCAGGGTAAAAAAAGAAAGGGGTAGAGAGAGAGGAGAGCGAGAGAGTGTGTGAGAGGAGAGAGAGAGTGTGAGAGTGGGAGGGGAGAATGAGAGAGAGTGAGAGAGAGAGTGTGAGAGAGTGAGAGGGGAGAGAGGGGGAGGGAGAGAGTGTGAGAGAGAGACAGAGTGTGAGAGAGTGAGAGAGGGGAGAGAGAAAGAGAGAGAGAGAGAGAGAGAGAGAGAGAATATAAAGCTCATCAGTTCCACAGCTGTTTTATTTATTTAACTCGGCTTCTGGTCCTTTTAACTGTACAGGGAGAAGAACACAGCCCTGCTCAACAAGGAGCTTTCTGTCTCTCCCTCTGTCTCTCTCTCTGTCTCTCTCTCTGTCTCTCTCTCTGTCTCTCCCATTTCATAGATGGAGGAGGAAAAGAAATGTTCATCCATCACCAGAGGCCAAAAATACCAGCGCTCAACAGAGAGAAACTCACTGTAACACACAGGACCGATACACACGTGTATTACATATATATGTAATATGTCTCATGTTTTATTGTGTGATTGACGTTTTTCATTTTTGAGAAATCCTCTGTCCTTTGTGAGAAACACTAATGATGAATGGACCAACAGAAATGCTCCAAAACCTGCTTGAAATAAAATCCTTCTCCTGTCAAGCTGCCACTTTTTTGAGATACTTGTTTTTGTTTGGATAGAAACAATAGAAACAATATAATAATAATAATAATAATAATAATTAATAGATAGAAGATAGATAGATGGATGGTAACTTTACAGGAAAAAACCTTTGCTTTTAATGTAAGTCAATGGAACATTGGGAGTTTTTCCCAATAACTCTGGGCCATTTCTTTTAGTCCATTCATCATAAAATGTACACACAAGAAAAAGGACAACAGCCATTTTTCAGTTATGTCAAAAACTAAAAAAACTGCAGCGATACACACACACACACACACACTTCATCTTTTTAGTTTTAAACAAATGAAGCTCTGATTTTGTAAACGCAGGTCTTGTTAGGGCTTTCTTGATTCTGAAATTGTAAGCAGTTTCTATACAGAATCACATGCTGGTTGCGGTGTGTGTGTGTGTGTGTGTGTGTGTGTGTGTGTGTCTGTGTGTGTGTGTGTGTGTGTGTGTGTGTGTGTGTGTGTGTGTGTGTGTGTGTGTGTGTGTGTGTGTGTGTGGAGAGAGCTCATCCTCTCTGGCGGACTTCCAGTGTGAGCAAAAGCAGGAAAGGGGGGGGCACAAGCCTCACACTGCACTGCCTCACTGCAGAGCTCTTACTGCTCTACAGCACACAAACACATTTAGTAAAAGTGTGGTGATGTGGTCAGAACGGTTCAGTTTACCATGTCAGGTGTTCTGACCCCAGAAGAACCATGAACATGTGGAGCTATAATAATGTTAATTTATCTAAAAATATGAGTATAAACTCAAGCTGAAGGACAAAGGTTTCTACGGGTGTCTAAGTAGATCCTGTTTAATTTGGAATTGGTCTGAAAAGTCAGGCGGCGCAACCAGTCAGTCAGATGCAGCAACCAGACCAGCACAGTTTAATAACCGTAAAGATTTGAAAACATTCACTATATTTAAGATATATAAATGCTATATATATATATATATATATATATATATATATATATATATACATACACACACACACAATCATATCCTTTTTAATAAGATTTTTAAAAACTGTCATTTTGAACAACCTTACCCAAATATGTAGATCCTGAAACTGTACTAAAACAAGTACGCACACATTCTAGTGCACACGCATAGACGAGTGTATATGCAGGACACAGAGGCATCCATGCACACACAGCGGTCACTCAGCAGGCTCACGTCCATCAACAGCAGCCACTGCAGGACAGCTGTGGAGCTGCTCTAATCCCCCAGCAACGGCCTCTTACCTCATCAATCTCTCTAATCCAGCGGTCAATCCCGTCGAATGACCAGCGGTTGGTGATGTCATAGACCAGCAGGATCCCCTGTGCAGGACAAACAAACAATAAGCATTGTTTCCCCACATCCTGGACACGCAGCAAAGACATTAACTGTGAAAGCAGGACACGTACAAACCGGCCAGAGTGGAATAGAGGAAATCAGAGATCAGGGCTGAAGCTGCTGTTCTGGCTGCTACCTCAGTGACTGCTATGCTCATATATGCTTGGCTATCGGCTAATATGTCATAGTATGTCACATACTGCTTTGCACAGCTCCACATACTCTCAGCACCGTTTACTGCCCGTGTCCTGTTTTGTATTTATTGTAAGTCTCTTGTATTCAGTGCACTGTACTGTCTGCACTGTGTACTGTATTGTGTTCCTGTGTTGGTCCTGGAGGAAGGTTGTTTCATCTATGTACTTGTATACAGCTGAAGTGACAGTAAAGCCTCTTGACCTTAAACTTGAGCTTTTCCAGCCAGAGAGCTCAGACCTGATAGTGGTTCACAACTAAACATTAAACTCTACATCACTCGCAAATAATATCTATATATTACATAAAAAAATGAGGTTTATTGCTTCTGAACAGAGGATTCTTTTGAATTTTACTTTTACTTCTTAATTAAGTAAAAAACTCGGTTTGGTGATCATAAAGCAGCTAGTCATATGCTTTTTTTTTTTTTAAATGGAAAAAAAGGAAACGTCCTCTACAGGGAATAAACGTAAATATGGCTAACTTTAGTGCAAAGTTTCTGTTCATTTGCAGGGATTAAAACGTGCCCAGAATTACTTAAAAATAAGCTGTTACACTGACATCCCCTTTAACGCTACCACTTTGGAGACGGGAGATTTTGTAGCAAATTTTTAAAAATTTACATGTTTATATTTGATAAACCAATAACTGAGGATGTATTTGTCGCACTCTGGATGACTACAATGTTTATGCAATATTAGGTTATTGCTAGTGCTGAGCAGTATGACAATATTTTATTGTTATCAGGATCAATTTTTTTATTGTGATGATCAACATGCTCTTCTGAGCATGTCTGAGCATGTGGATATCATCGGTACTTAAAGAGCACTGACTGCACGCTTCATTACAAAGAGAGCAAACCTAGTCCTGTTTGACTGGATTTAGTGCAGCACAGAGTGAGCAATGCTGAATAAAAAACACTGCACTCTGCATTTTTGAAGGACGTTTTTCAATTTTGCTCTGGTGAAAACATCCTAAATGTGGTCAATATATCCATCTCATTATGATTTTGTTATATAAATACTATAAGATAACCTGTTTCGATACGTTTTCACTTGTTTTAAGGTAGCTTTTTATAGTGAAAGTGTCTCATTTCATTGGCAGATTGTTTTATTTGCTTTGGGAAATGATGCAGATCATTTTGCTTATTTCAAGAAATAATGATTAAAGCAGGAAAATGATTTTGCCAATTGAATAAGACACTTTCACTGGATGAAATGACTTAAAACAAGCAAAACTGTTTAGAAATAATTATAATAAATCACAATATTCTTACAACAATCTCATAAAGATAAATATTAGCCATATTGACTACATTTCATCCATTTTCACTTGCTTTTTTTGTTTCTGTGTCAAAATAGCATGATTCCTATTGTGCACTGTAAAAATTATGTATGATACTTATTATATCATCCACCCCAACTACTGCACTGAAATATCTGCATTTCATTCATTTTACTGCACTTCTACTGTAACCCTACATAAATATTATCATCTTTCTCTGCAGTGCTAATCCAGCCCAACGTAACCCCAGTTTCTACACTTTATACACTACACATGTAGAGTATAAATCACTGAACTCTGCCATGAGAAACACATTATGTGTGCGTAATTCTGATGAGTAAACAAAGGAAGGCAGGGCGTGTCGGGGCAGCGCAGAGCAGGGCACCGATCAAAGTTCCGTCAGCATGGGTCACATGAGACAGGAACCAGCGCTGCGCTGGTCATCCTCACCTGCGCCCCTCTGGAGTAGGAGCGGAAAATGGTGCAGAAGCGTCCCTGTCCCGAAGTGTCCCTGTAAACACAAAAACACGGGGAGAGAAACGAGTCAGGACAGAGAACATTCACAGAACTTTCTCTCTTTCAGTTTGTCATCAGGAACGATCGCTAAACAGGCCAGCATCTAAGATCACAGGGAACGTTCTGGATAACTCGAACACAACATGACCCGGCAGCTCATGACAGCGTCAGCGCCTGGAAAAACGGGTTTAACAGCCTCCACAGCTCAGGCTGACGAACACAAACAGGCTCTAACTGTCTGGAACCAGTGAATTACTGCATGTCCACGTTAAACACCTGCCTACTTCTGTTTTCGAGCGCAGCAGTCAGAGAATCCAAACCACACCTGCGTTATCAGAGATGGCAAACTCTGATTGCAGCGACTGTTCGGAAACGAGAGATGACAGCTAGACTCAACAGGCTGTAGCTGGTGGGGCACGGACCACCCAGATACCAACCGCACTTCAAAACAAACACATATTGTCACGGTTTGTCTGTGTTGTGACGAGCAAATGAGGCCTGTTCTCCCCCAGAGCTACAGGTCTGCCATTAGCGGTGGCCAATATGACAACTGCCCAATTAAACTGGGGAAACTGGGGAAATCGTTAGTAGTTCAAAAGAACGTCAAACCACATTTTATCGTAGAGCATAATTAGTCCTTTTTAACTGTGTTTAGTGCAGTGCAGTAGATAAAAAGCAGAACATAATCACTGTATTCAGTTTTTAATAGTAGCCTTTACGTGTGACACTAGAGTATTTGGTCTCAATATTAAATATGTATCATGTATCATAAAATTGCTTTAACCCCTGTGTGGTGTTCAGGTCTTTGGGCCCCATTTTTAGTGTTTACCAAAAAAAAATGATGCGATTATTATTTAACCTCAGATTCTTGTCCTTTGCTCATTTTCTGTGAAGAACACAAAAAATACCCCATTTTCAGTGCCTTCACTCTGTTCACCCCCCACACATTTATATTACACATTTTAGTGGATATATATAAAATGTATAAATAAATATACACACACACACAGGCAACAGTAGCACTAACACATTAATAAGCAGTACTATTAGCATTAATAGTACTAGTAATAGTTATTATTACTGTACGATTACAAAAGTATTTAACTTATTTAAGTTTTGATATGGTGATATTATTGCTATCGTCCAAAAAGTAGAAAATACCGTGATATAAGTCTGAGCTTATATCGCCCACCCCTAGCGGATAACCCCTCAAACGACGGAGGTACAGAAGGCCAATTATCAGCGCAAGGACACTTATTAATTCACTGGTATTTGAGCCTTCCTCTACATCTCTATCACTGAGATTTGCTCAAATCTCCCACTGTAGCTTGGAAAGTAGTTGACTTTAATGTAGAAATAGGGTGTTGAGTCTCTTGGCTCGCTGGTTTTATGTGTTCAAGGCACTTGCTCATACATTTAGTGTGACAATGTTGAACTTCGCACCCAAAAAGATCCGCTCCACTCCTTCCACTCGGCAAAACTCATCAAAGGCAGACTCCTTCTGGTTCAGACGCATTTTTTTTGTGGAATACACTCTGCCGTCTGAACGCAGCCTAAGAAACTGTGCTTTTCTCTCTCCGAGGGACTCTGTGTACTCTGAAGAACACAATCTCCCTGCAGTGTTCTCTGGTTTCGCATATACAGCATTAGGCGTCGTTCACAAGCACCACTTATTTATCACATCATGAAACTTCTGGCTCTTGCACTTTTTGTACAACCCTTTCATTTTACTCTGCTAATAATGCCGGCGGCCCGGCCGCGCCCCAGAGAGAGAGAGCGAGAGAGGAAGGCTGCCTGATGAGAACGGGCAGTGATTGATGCGGAGGGAGATTGGTATCTGGGCCTCTCTTTAGCGGTATAATTGCGGCTCTCTGGTAAAAGCTCCGTCTCTGTCTGAGGGCCGAAAGCCGCTGTGAAGCGCTGGACTCATCACTCTGAGTACTCTGCTCATTTAACAGCCCTCCATTCGCTCTCAGCAGATCATGCATCACGCTGCATCCTGAAGAGCCAAAAAGGAAAAGGAGATGGCCAGCATAGCTCGGCGGCCACTTCCGCCCCACCTCTCTCGCATTCCAGCATTTAGGAAGACAAGAGCTACAGCTACAGCACTCCGGCAGCAGCAGAGCTGATCTATCTATGCTCTTTTTAGTACATCCTTAGGAAAGTGGTGCTTTAAGGGTTCTTTAGTAAAGGCAGTGGTTTTATATTAAGAGTATTCAATTGTGTGATTTAGGCTACATTAACACAGCAGGTCAAAGTGGCCCAAATCTGATTTTTTTGTTTGGCTGTTCAGATTATCTTTTAAATGTGATCTGTATGCGACATCAGTCTGAACAGATCAGCTCCTAAACTGAGCCGCATGCGCAAAAGAACAGAGCGTCACGCTGCTTCACGGCTCATCCAGAGGGTAAACAATCACGACCGCCAACGAACACCAGTCGCTCCCGGAGGATCAGCTTCATCTTCACCAGCATCACAGGAGCCATCATGAAGCTTCACTGACTGACCGCTGGGCTCATCACCCAGAATGTTTTCAGCTCGCCGTAAAAAGGGCGCGGCCACTTCTTTGGTTCACGTCCTCGGATTCTTTAAACTTTGCTTTCAGACTTTACCTGTTCTTTGATGCTGCAGCCTCTTCAGAGTCTCCTCTAATTTTTGTACAGAAACATCAGTCTAAATGTTTCTGAGTCTCAGCAGTGCTAAGTTATGACGAACGTTGAGTTGGATTGATGTAAAAGTCGCATGAAATCCGATCTGGCTGCTCAGACTGAGCCGCACTGCCGCAGATCGAATACGTAACAGATCTCAGTACCACATATGAAAGCGTCTGAGATCAGAATTGAAAGTGTCAGATTCAGTGTGTTTATCTGTTCACACTGACACACATCTGTGTCACATATGGAGAAAAAGATCAGATTTGGGCCACTTTTACCTGCTGTGTGAACAAAGCCTAAGTGAATGAAAGCTAATCCAGGAGAAGCATTATTTTGCAGGTAAAAGTGGCCCAGATCTGATTTTTTTGTGGTTAATTAACAGCAGGATAGAAATCAACAATAAAAAAGGATAAAAAGGACTAAATTAGAGCTGAGGATGTACTTACTAAACTCCAGAACAACAGAATGTTTAGGTGACGCTGGGTTACTGCACTAAAATACCTGCACTTTTCTTCATTTTACTGCATTTGTAACTCTACAGAAGTAAATCTAAAATAAATGTCTCTGTTATGCTGATCTAACTCAGATTACTTACATTCAGACTGCAGGTAAAAGTGGCCAAAAGCGGCCCAAAGCAGGGAAGGGAAGAAATCAACAACAAAAGGGGATAAAAGGGAGAGCTGAGGTTTACTCTTTATATGATAGCACATACGGTTAAAATCAGAGAACACATTTTATTATTCAATAACAGCCGAGGGTAAAGGGTAATTTGCGACCACGACTCCCTGGCAGAAGAGATACTGTATCTCAGTGGGACCTTCCTGGTTAAATCAAGGATAAATAAATTAAAAATAAAAAACACACCTCCCTAAATGAAGGTGGGCACTAATGTTAATTTTTAATTTGCTACCCAGCATTACAATCAGTTTTTTCCTTATTTAATTAGAAGAAAAATCTGACTCAAGCAATTATTCATGTACTGCGTAAATTAACACAGCAAGTATTTGGGCTGTAATTAAGCCTGTCACAATTATGACATAATTGCCTAATTGCAATTACCTGAGATGATTGCAATTATTTAAGCTGACTGCAATTATTTCGCACGGTTTCACACAGACTCAACACACCCAGTTCACGTGAAAATGTAAATAAAAGAAAGCAGTAAGCGCATTTACTGAGACACATCAGGCTTTAATGGCTGTAATTATCTTGTGAAAGAGCCGTATCATCTGCGTAACTATGGTAAGGAATATCGTTTTCTTTTAGCGTCTTACCTACTGGGAGCATATGAAGAGTTGATTTGCAAAAAGAAATATCTCCATTTGAATTAAATTTCATAAATCTTTTTTTTTTTTATCGTGCATTCCAGGTAATATAAAAAAATCAAACTGATGTTGGGTTGTTTTGATTAATTAATTAACTAATAACATCAAAATGCAGTTAACTTAGAATATTAACCTTTTTTTTAATTTAGTTTTTTGGCAAAAGCAGAGAACTCCTATGGTCAACTCATGTTTCAGAGTTAATCAAAGAGATTTAATGGATACAAGGGCAATAATTAATGCAGGGACCTTCTTTAAAGCAGGCAAAGAGCTGTAAGGGTTCAGAATCTGTTAATAACTCACCACAGTCAGCTAATTTTTTATCATTTTTAATCATTTTATGCAAATGAACTCTTTATATCGCTGCTGTCGGAAGAAAACCTCATATCTCCGAAATGGTAACTTTACAGGAGAAGGAAAAAACATATTTCGCTTTCAATGCAAGTCAATGGAACCAGATGTTTTTCCAAGTCATTTTGGGCCGTTTCTTTTGCTTCATTCATCATAAAATTTACATACAAAAACTGAAAAACAACAAAAATGGGGATACAAGGTTTTGCTCTGACAGCAGCGATATACAGCAGAGAAATACGATTGGATACGTATTCAAAGAGTGTCGCACACAAACAAATGTGTCACATACAAAGAAAAAAACAGATTTTTGGAGTGTGAACGCAGTTATTTTTCACATTCAGATTCTTTGTTGCATTTAAATTGTATTAGATCCAGATGTGTGGTTAAGTCATGGCGGCTGGGCTCAACGAGAGTGGGCGACGTTCGGCAAATGTACTCACCACAGCTCTAACTTCACTCTCCTTCCGTCCAGCAGGATAGTGGTGGTCTTATAGTCGATTCCTAAAAGCAAGAGAGAGAAAGAGGGGGAGATAAATAAGAAATAAATGAAATAAATAAATAAAGAGGATAATAAGATGGAGCCTGGCTGCTGGCTTTTAGCAGATCAGAACAGGCAGGCCATTTTCCAGCTGACTCACTCCAACTTAAACATGATTTTAAGTGCTGCGGTGTCCTGGGAGTCTAATGGTGCCCCCGTTCTAAAGCACTTAGGCTAATTTTATTAGTTTTAAAGGCTTCCTGTCATGAGAAGGCTCTTACGCTGAGAAAAATCTGCAGTTTTCTGTTGGAGGGTGATGCAGCACGTTTGGCAGAAACCAGACACGACCACGACAACAGCTGAGCGGGAAGTTTTGGTGCTGGCTAATTTAATTTGAGCCAATAATGCGACCGTAGCGCGTCGCCAAAAGAGATTATCTGGCTTCAAATGAGGAGTTAAGAGCGGCCCACATTCAAACACCTAGGCTTTGTAGAGATAATTACAATCTGCATCCGTCTGATGTGTTTAAAGTGCTCCACCACATGACTAAGAATAAGCGCTCTCGGGATGTGAAACAGCTGCTCCGGACCACTTTTAGACCTGCTTTGCATTTTAATAGCGCTCTGCCCCTGACAGAAGACCACTGTGCTCCCCTCTTTTCATACAGAACAGGCCACTGTAATATTCTCAATGGTGAAAAGAGCCCATCTTATTGCCGGATTGTCATCATTTTGCACACTATAAGGCCCAATCCCATTTCACCCCTCGCCCCTACCACTCAGCCCTTAGCCCTCTGTTTTGTGTGTTCACGTCTAGGGGTAGGGTGTTCCGATTCTTGTTGAGATAGAGGGGTGGGGTGAAGTGTTGGGGCTACATGACCCTCCAAACGGAGGTTTTTCAGACACTCCAAACAGAGAGTTATGAGAAAATAAGAAAAACCGGCAAGATGGAGAACAAGAGACCAAAGAAACCCACGAATATGAGAATTTTCTTCATTGAAATTTACAGTAATCATTGTTTTATCTTAGTTTAATGTCGTTTCAGTGTATTTTGGTCCTTTTCTTCATAACAAGCACAAAAAAAATCTCTAATAGCATGCTAATGTCTCGGTGGCTAGCTAACTAACTTTCCCGTTCCACCTTAAATAATCCAGCAGTTCTGACGCCTGAAGCGCCAGACTGTAACTGCTGCTCCATTTAAGGTGGAACGGGAAAATTCAAACAAGAATCTGGTGAATATCTGACTTCAGCTTCAAATCACTGAAGAATTAGGGGTGGGTGATAATAAATAATTGCCCCCCTCTTTGAAGGCATATGATGCCCTAAATGTAACTAAAGCCCAGCAGTGAGGAGCTGAACTTTACCCTCCTCTGCTGTCACTGCAGACTGGCAGGGTCGCCTACAGAGCAGCGCTGGTAGCTGTTAATGAAGTGATGCTCTTTTTATTTGAGGGTCCCATTTCAGAGGAAGATTTCAACCACTACCCCTTCTAACGCAGTTCCAAGGGGTTAGGGTGACACTCGAAAATAAGGGGTAGGGGTAAAATGAAGAAATGGGACTGGGCCTAATAATCGGATCAACTTCAGCGCCAGCAGCCTGTATTAATGTGGGCATCTAATGGGCTCCAAAAGCTGTCAGGCTGATTCGTTTACAAAGACACAGCGTGAATCCTGCAGATTCTGTCGCCATCATCGCCGCAGACGGCCCTCGGCTGACGGCCACCGCGCTAATTTCCAACACGCTGGTTAGAGATGGAGGAGAAACCACTGCGACACACCGTCTCTTTCCATCACAGATGTTTATGCGAGCGCCATCGTGACAGTAACGGTGAGCTAAAAGGAGAGAGGAAGTCACAGATGCTTCGTAAAGCTTTGATGATCTAGTGACAGAACAAGGCTGAGGGGGAAAGGGGGGAGTGAAAAAGAGGAAGGACAGTGAAGGAGAGAAAAAGGTAGAGAGAGAGACAACAAAGAGAGAGAAAGAAAAAAGAGGAAGAGAGAAGAGTGAGAAAGAGAGAGAAGGAGAAAGGGAGAAAGAAGGAGAGGGATAGAGTGTGAGAGAAAGTGAGAGAGAGCAAAAAGGAGAGAAAAGAAGAGAGCATTAAAGCGAGAAGAGAAAGTAAGAGAGAGACAAACAAGGAGAGGTAGAGAGAGAAAAGAACAGAAAAATAGAGACAGAGCATAAGAAACACAGAAAGGGAGAGAGAGAGGGGGAAGAGAGAGAGAAAGGAGAGAGAGAGAAGGGGAGAGAGGGGGAGAGAGAGAGAGAAGGGGAGAGAGGGGGAGGGGGGGCTGGGGGCCTGCAGGCTCTGCCTATCCTCCATTATTAAACACGAACAAGGGCGGCTAATAAGAAGAAAATGGTAACTGAGTCACTTTAAATTATAAAAGCAGAGACGGAGAGGAGAGAGAGAGAAGAGGAGAAGAAGGAGCAGAAGGAAAGGAGAGGGAGGAGAAGAAGAAGAAGAAGAAGAAGAAGAAGAAAAGAGGGAGGAGAGGAGAAAAAGAAGAAGAAAAGAGGGAGGAGAGGAGAGGAACGGGAGGAGAGAAGAGGGAGGAGAAGAAGAAAAAGAAGAAGAGGGAGGAGAGGAGAGGAAAGGGAGGAGAAAAGAGGGAGGAGAAGAAGAAGAAGAAGAAAAGAGGGAGGAGAAGAGAAGAAGAAGAAGAAAAAGAAGAAGAGGGAGGAGAGGAGAGGAAAGGGAGGAGAAAAGAGGGAGGAGAAGAAGAAGAAGAAGAAGAAAAGAGGGAGGAGAAGAGAAGAAGAAGAAGAAGTAGAAAAGAGGGAGGAGAGGAGAGGAACGGGAGGAGAAAAGAGGGAGGAGAAGAAGAAGAAGAAGAAGAAGAAAAGAGGGAGGAGAGGAGAAGAAGAAGAAGAAGAAAAGAGGGAGGAGAGGAGAGGAACGGGAGGAGAGAACAGGGAGGAGGAGAAGAAGAAGAAGAAGAAGAAAAGAGGGAGGAGAGGAGAAGAAGAAGAAGAAGAAAAGAGGGAGGAGAGGAGAGGAACGGGAGGAGAGAACAGGGAGGAGAAGAAGAAGAAAAAGAAGCAGAAAAGAGGGAGGAGAGGAGAAGAAGAAGAAGAGGGAGGAGAGGAGAGGAACGGGAGGAGAGAACAGGGAGGAGAGCAGAAGAGAAAGGAGAAGCAGAAGCAGAGGAGAGGGAGGTGAGAAGTGAGGGAGGAGCAAGGGAGAAGAGGAGGAGAAGAGGGATGAGAGGAGAAGGAAATGGAGATGAGGGGGAGGAGAGGAGAGGGAGGAGAGAGAGAAGAGGAGAGAGAGAAGAGGAGGAGAGGAGAGGGAAACCAATGACTGTTCAGTGCAGCTCAACCCCACCTTAAAGAGCACATTAACCAGTCCGAACACACAGAAATAAACACCTTTAACCCGTTTCATCACTTTCATTAGGTTACTGGGAAACGGTAACGAACAGATGATGCCGATGAAGTTAATTTCCTGACACCATTAAAATTTAACCGGTCAGTTCTGGCATTTCAGGTAAATGCGCCACTCTGAAAATCGATGGAGGAAGAGTGTCACAGCTATGCGTTACCATGCGCTACTTTATTCCCGCTGGCAATCCGAAAACGGTCCAGCCAACCAAAATATGTTCTCCCTCCGCTCCGCACTCTTTAAATATTTACAGATGTGCTCTTTCAGTCAGAGAGAAACGCAGATCAATGGCTGCAAAAGCCTCGGAGTAAACACGCCAGCGATTCGCCGCATGGCCCAGTTTTTAATGAAGGCTCTGGGATTTGGATCGCTCTCAGATCACTCCAGGACTCTCTTCTTTCCACAGTTTCGAAAAAACAAGACTTGGAGGGAGGAAAAGAAGAGCTTTCAAAACAGCCACTCTCCACGGGCGTCTGGCAGAATTCAGCAGGCATGAACTGCTAGTTATAAAAAGCCAGAATATTAGAATTTACTTGATTCTTCCCAAAAGAAAAGGCTTCCAGATAACTTCAGACATTTAACCAGCAACAGTAAACAAGAGTATCAGGCATAACATTCTGACCAACTCCTCGTTTCTACACTCTCTGTATATTTTATCAGCTCCACTTACTATATAGGTGCACTTTGTAGTTCTACAGTTACAGACTGTAGTCCATCTGTTTCTCTGATACTTTGTTAGCCCCCTTTTACCCTGTTCTTCAGTGGTCAGGACCCCCATGGACCCTCACAGAGCAGGTACTATTTGGGTGGTGGGTCATTCTCAGCACTGCAGTAACACTGACGTGGTGGTGGTGTGTTGGTGTGTGTTGTGCTGGTCTGAGTGGATCAGACACAGCAGTGCTGCTGGAGGTTTTAAACACTGTGTCCACTCACTGTCCACTCTATTAGACACTCCTACCTTGTCAGTCCACCTTGTAGATGTAAAGTCAGAGACGATAGCTCATCTGCTGCTGCACAGTTTGTGTTGGTCATCCTCTAGTCCTTCATCAGTGGTCACAGGACGCTGCCCACAGGACGCTGTTGGCTGGATGTTTTTGGTTGGTGGACTATTCTCAGTCCAGCAGCGACACTGAGGTGTTTAAAAACTCCAGCAGCACTGCTGTGTCTGATCCACTCGTACCAGCACAACACACACTAACACACCACCACCACGTCAGTGTTACTGCAGTGCTGAGAATGATCCACCACCCAAATAGTACCTGCTCTGTGAGGGTCCATGGGGGTCCTGACCACTGAAGAACAGGGTAAAAGGGGGCTAACAAAGTATCAGAGAAACAGATGGACTACAGTCTGTAACTGTAGAACTACAAAGTGCACCTATATAGTAAGTGGAGCTGATAAAATGGACAATGAGCGTAGAAACAAGGAGGTGGTCAGACTGTTATGCCTGATCGATGCACTTCTTAATAACGAGACACACAAATCCAAGTCCACTGTGAGAGAAGTTATGTTGGTTTACTTGTTATTTAATCGTTAAAAGGCCTTATACAAGCAAATGATAAGCATGAAGAGCAACCAAAATCCTTCAGGCTACGACACATACAGATGTAACCTGACGGGGCGGCTCTGTTTGCACAGC